ACTTTATGGCTTCCCACTAATTTATTTTTTGAAAATTAAAAAAGTTTTCTAAGAAAATAGGTAATTGTAATTTTAAATTTGGTAGCTTTTTTTAATAACAAAAATTCACGTGTTTTTATGTTTTAAAAAAAAAGTCCAACAACAACAACAACATAGACGGTCATAAGAAAGGAAGGCACTTTACAAGTGCAACTTTTAAAATTTTTTTAAAGTTTCGGCAAAAGAATAAAAAAAATTTAAAAATAAAAAGATGGCACGAGAAAATACAAGAAAGTGCAAATGAAAACAGAAAAGGGCATTTTGAATTTTGTCGGAATCCCGACAGTCGATGTATTTCAATCAAAGAAAAAAATAATATAAAGTGCAAGGAAATTTTGAAATAAAAAATTTTAAAAAAATAAATAAATTTAATTTGCTATAAAGTCAGACCTCGCTATAAAATATCCCTTGGGTTGAAAATTTATTGTTCTGTTTATTGTTGTTCCGTACTTGCAGAAGAGTCATGGGAATGATCCGGGTAGGCTATAAGGATGGGAGGGCTGGGAAATACCTAAGTCGGGTCGAGTTTTACAAGTCTAGGTAATTCCAAGGCTGGTCCCCCCCTTTTTTTCCTTTCTATTTTTTTCGATTTTTTAAACTTTTTATGGCAAATTACATATCATTCGAAAGAGCTCTTCGAGCTGAGTCGAACGGTACTAGATTCATCGAAATCCGACTTAAATAAACATAGCTATGAGCATTTGTTTTAATCCCTTTCAGCATCACAAAAAGAACGTCCTTCGAGGATTTAGCTTCATAAATCTGTTCAGATTCGCCAAATCTAACCGATCATAGTATCATTCTACTCAGCTCGAACAGCTCTTTCGAACGATATATTGAAAATTATATGCCAAGCAAAAAAACTCAAAATGGTCAGGGGAACAGAAAAAAAGGGGGGGGGACCAGCCTTGGAATTACCCAAGTCTATAAAGTCAGATTTTGGTTGGAGAGGGTTTCGAGTAACCCGTCCTTTCTGAATGGATGATGGAAACAGTTGGTTGTACTTCGGGGTGGCCTCATTATTTTACGATGTTCCTCTACCATACAATGGATGTTTCAAGAACATGAACATAATAGGGGGTATACATGAATTAGGATAAATAATAAGAGGTAACGGAATCGTCTTCGCAAATTTACTTAAATGTAAACGAGGTCTAACGAGCTTTTTAAAAACCTGGCCGTCCAGTCAGTGTAGGAGGCTGACTAAGCGATACCCCTCTATTTAATAGACACCTCATTACAGAAGTCGATTTTCAGCTCCAAGGAGAGTATTCGAGTTTCCAGCTCCAAGAGGGTATCTTATAGCAATGCCTGACTTTAAATAAAAATAAAATAAAATTTTTAAATAAAATTGAATATAATTGAAGAGGGAATATATTGAATTTTCTAATTTGGCAATGCCCGATTGAAGGCAGGGAGGGAGGGGGGAGGGGGGAAAGACAATAAACGGGTAGGAGGAGGAATTGGAGGTGGTGGGCGATAGATGGGGAGAGAGGGGTGATAAAATGCGCTGCTGGCCAAATTGTGTTTTACTCATTTATGTTGATTGAACTCTTAAAATAGCTGGGAAGGCAAGAAGAAGAAAAAGAAAATGCCAGCCTCTCCTCTCCAATCACCCTCTCTCCCTCTCTCCATTCACTTATAAAATTACAGGAGGCATGCGCATGCCTGCCCATGCATTCTAGCCCTATTGGATTTTGAAAAGCAAAAGGCAAAGGCAAGTCTTCAATGCGCGATAAAATTTGGGTAGCGATAGCTATATAGATTTTTTAAAAAATTTTACAAGAGACTTGGATAGACAATTTAATTTAGAGAAAAAGTCAAATTATTGTTGAAGGTTGGAATTGAAGATGGGCAACAGGTTGAGAAACAAGTCTAGTTGGAGTTCGGGTCGGTTTTCCAAAATTCTCTGCGGATCGGAGTTACGGTCCAAAGAAAATCCGGGTTCCGTGTCTGCAGCTAGGTTGGCGGATTTTGGGAGATCCCCGGGTATCCGGTTCTGGATATCTAAAAATAGCAGGATATTCGGATTATTTTTATAGATCCGGAGCCACCCCTGTTAATTTAGACAAATACAGTCGGACCTCATAATAAGGTACATTTTTGGGTCTGAAATTGTATCCTATAATGAGGTGTCATTAAATTGGAGGTATCGGTTAGGTAGCTCCTTCCACCAAGTACTATTTGTGGAACGCCATTTGCGGATCTCGGGCAGCCAAGTTCAACCCCAAATATTAAAAGGGTATCCGTGTATACTATTTTTGAAGATTTATTACAGAATATGTACAATGTAAATGAAAGAATTAAATGAAGACTTGAAGAGAAAAATAGGCAAATAATAATAATACAAATATTTATAAATTCCTGCCTCAACTTCCTGCCTTGTTTTTGTTTTTATTAATCCGTTAATTATGGAAACTGCCCTATGAGGGCATATTCTTTTAAATGTATGCACTATTTTTGCACATGAAAGGTATCTTTTATTTGGAGATTATTTATTTTTTAATATAAAAATGAAAATAAATAGTTGAGGCAAAATTATACTTTTATATTTTTAAACTAAGGTTGACTTGCTTACAGAGGGCTTACAGAGGGTAAGGGCACTGACCAGGCAATTAACAGAAATAAAGGTTGAATTGTCTATAGAGTTTGAAAAAATAGGGAAGGGCAATAGGGAAGGGCACTGCCCAGGGGTTTTTCGGACCCCTATCAAAGCCCCTGAAATTTTGAAGAGAACGAGACTTTTCAGGCTTTTCAGGGTCTCACGGGCTTCACGTTTTTAACATTGAAACTCGGCCCGGTCCTGTACATATGAACATTAAACAAAGTCTGACTTGTCTATAAAGAATCTGAAAAATATAGGGAAGAGACCTGACCAGGGTTTTTTCGGACCTCTATAATAAATCTTGACATTTTGAAGAAAATTAGGCTTTTCAGAGCTTCGGAGTTTCCAATGTTTTAGCCCTGAAACCGGCCCTGGCCTTAGTAAAAACAATAAAAAAAACCCTGATTCGAGGCCCTAAAGTTTTAAAAATTTCAGAAGAAAATTTTAAAAAATCATGTTTCCTGAAATCTCTGAACTCTAATTAGCATATTTAAGGTCAAATTCTAGGAATTTTTGAGAATTTCAGGTTAGTCATTGATAGAAAAAATATGATAGGAAGAACAGAAGAATTTCAGAAAAATATTTAAAAAATGTCATATAAATTTATGCAAAATTTATGTAAAATAAAAATATTTTTAACAAAAAAAATAATTTTTTTGTCAAGAATAGGTCGTTGACCATGATCACAAAACTACAAAAAAAATTTAAAAAAATAAAAAAAGAATTGTCCGGTACGAAGGTTCACGGCTTTTTATTAGACGCTATTTTGAAGCATCTTCTTCCTAACCCCGAGAATGTTTGCTGGACAAACAGAAATTTTTTTATGTTTTTAGCGGGAAAGTCATCACGGGCGCGGTGTTTGCGGAAGAAAAAAGGAAGAAGAAAAAGACGTTTTTGGTGGTTGTTTTTGGTGCTAGTTTGTGAGGGTCTTTTACAGAAAATAAAAAAAATTTTGGCCAAAAAAGCTTTGCATGATCAGCATTTTTTTGATAAAATTATTATTAATGGTCAGAAATGAGTAGAAACAAAAAAATAAATTTTGAAAGTTTATGTAGAGAAGATAAAATGGGAAAAATAAAAAGTGATCACTGGGAATAATTTTGATCTGTCCAAAATAATTCAAATTTTTTTGGCTAATTTAAAATGACAAAAATTAAGTGAAGACAAACCTCATTTTAAAATAACCCATCGGATTGAAAAACGTATCTTATAATAAGGTGTATCTTAGATAGAAGGTATCACTTCTAAGAATCGTCTTCCACCCCACCCTGTGGTCAACCAAATTTAAAAAACTCTCTTATAATGAGTGTGCCTAATATGTAGAGGGTAGAGCAACTTCCACCCTGTAAAGTGATTTCTGACTGTGTATAGGAATTGAAGTAATGTTCTTCAACATTCAAGAATTAAACTTAGTATTGTCAATGAAATTTTAAATAAAATATCCCGATGTTTTAATCATATTATATACAAAATTTGATCACAGGATGATCATCATTTTAATAAAAAGGGAAGTAAACTGCGTAAAAAATAAACTAAATTTCCGTGTCTTCCTTTAAAAATGATTCAAAAAGATTTAAAAATATTAAAAAAATTAAAAGGAAATGCGAGGACCACCGGTCAATGGGAAATACTTTTCAAAACAAAAATCGAAAAAAGGGTCGACGGGGACAGAGTCCACGGACAAACAACCCTTTAGATTCACCTCTCTTTTTTCCTCCTTCCTGAACAAACAGAAGACGGACGAGAGGTGCAGCAATGGGAAGAATAAGGGAGATTGAAGGACAACAACAACAACAAGAGAAGAGGTTGAAGGAGTGGCCGATGAATTGAAAAAAACAAAAAAAAGTGCTCTCGATCTGGTGTGCCGACGTATTTCAGCCAAAAAAATATTTTTTTCTTCAATTTTGTTTATCCCCAGAAATGGCCATTCAAACGACGTTGTTTTTCATCACGGATGGTTCCACAAAAAAAATTTTTTTTTCTTAGCGGAAAGCGCGAGAGTTTGTTTTTCTCCTTTCTTTTTTACAAAATAAATACACTTTAAATGTGTTGATTTATAAGTATTTTAATTTTGTTTGCTCAAATTTTTTGTTTACAATTTTTGAAGAGGTGGATAAATTGCAAAAAATTATTAGGAAGGTCAAAAATCTATCAAACTAATTTTTGTTGAATTTTTAAAAAAAATTCTAAAGGCCTGAAATTTAACTAAATTTTGATGTTTTACTCATATTAAGTCGATTATTTAGCCAAAATAGGTCGACTATTGTTTGAAGTTATCGAACCCGAGACGTCATGCTAGTGTTTCTAAAAACTGCCACTTAACCACTTAACCAAACTGCCTATGCTTGAAAAAAATATGGAAGAGATGCTGTCTTCCACTTTGGCCTTCCTTAGAATTCTCCTCCTTTTACGCTTCCGCTTTCACTTTTTCTTTAGTTCCACTTTCTTCCATATTCCAATTATTAAAGTAAAACAGGACCCATCCCTGCCGCAGCATGTTGGTGGCACTCACACCTCAGAATCGAACCTCAGAATAAGCCGGAAAACTTAGCCTTAAATAATCTTATCTTCTATCTAGCATTGTATACTAGTTGAATCTGGTCGTTTTATCAAATAATAAACGATTAAAAAACTAAACAAAATTTTTCTAAAAATTTTCTTTCCCTCGGATACTTGTTTTTACTTCATTTTCTTAATAAAACTCTTCATCAAATTCTTCATCAAATTCTTTTTCAGTCATTTTTTCATCCCTGATTTCCTCATCTTGTTGAATAAACTCACTCAAATCTTCATTGCATTCCAAATTTATATCATCGCAACCCAAATCTAAAATTTTACTAAAATCTTCATTCATCTCCCCTTTCTTCTCTTTTTCCTCCTTCTTTGAATTGACCGAATCTTGTGATTGTTGGAAAGAAAAATCCTCGTTTTCCTTCTGCTTTTTCCAACTTTCTGGTGTCTCAACTTCTCCCCCTTCAACTTTTGCCAAATTTTCTGTTTGTAAATTCTCTTGAAAGGAAATTTATTAAAATTTCTTTCGAGAATTAAAGTCCCCACTTTAAGGTACCCCCTCGGGGCAAAAAATTGTCTCTTATAATGAGGTGTACCTTAGACGAGGGAGGGGGGTTGTATCGCTCAGGCAGCTCTCCTAATCCAGAGTCTAACAGGATTTAAATAAACTTACCTTAAATAGAGGTGTATATCTATTGGGTGTATAAAATTATCAGATAGACCTAATACTAAATACACCTCTGTTTAAGAAACGTTTTTTGAAAGCTGATTGGGCACAAGGTGAGGGAGCTTCTAAGCGTTACCTTCTATTTAAGATACAAATCTTTCTAGCCTCAGATTTGTCTCGACCTCTATTTAAGATAAATCTCGTTATAAGAGACTGTGTTTTAGCCTTAATAGGATATCTCAAAACGAGGTTTTCACCCCGTTAAAACAAAAATATTTAAAGAAATCACCAATTTTCGTATGCGTATTTAAAATATTCGGTTTTGATTCATGCTTTATAGGAGAATTTTTATGAAACTCCTTTGTTAAATTTTCATCAGCATTCTCGGGCGTATCATAATGAAATAATCGTTTAGCCTCTTCACCGCAAAATTTCTTTTTTGTTGGCAAATCTTTACTTTCCAATTCAACTTTTCTCTTTTTTTCGCTAGTTTGTGGTGGAGAAAAGGCAAATTCTTCTGGATGTTTCTTCCAACTATCGGGGGATTCTACCTCGACATCTTCTTTCTTGGTTTCTTCCTTTTCCTTTTCTTTTTCTTTATGTTTTTTGGCTTCAAATTCAACATCTTTTTTCGATACTTCCTTCTCTTTTTCCTTCTGTTTTTTCGCTTCAAATTACAAAAAAAATTATAGACGAGCTTCAACTTACTATTATAGACAAGCAAAGTTTCCCCCAAACGTAAGTCGGTAGTTCTAATCTTTTGCTATTTTCTGGGGTTACTCTTACGCGTTATTAAAGGCATATAATGGTGGTAATTTAATTAAATAAATTTAATTTCTCCAGGAAGGTCCAAAGATAAGGTTCGCCTGTAGCTACAGGACGCCTGCAACGTCTACGCTTAACTCCGGGTTTTTCCCAATCTCTCGCAAGAAGTAATTAATCTGGAGGAGTAATAATCCAGAGATGAAAATTAATTTATTAAATACAACAAATTCTCACCCTCCTCTATTTTGTTAGTATTTGTTGTTGTATTGTTATGAACATTCTGCCCGTAAAATTTTGTTGGACTTATAGGTTTTTGCTGCCCTTGTTTTGCTGAAAAAAAGAATAAATATTTTTGTTTACCAACGTATTTCCTTTAAGCCTAGAAGCTAAAACATGGAAACTATCAGCCGATCAGTGGGATGGTGTGAGATAGGAGTGGTAGGAAGACCCGTCTAATCTGGAGAGCTCTTATGATTTAGTCTCGGCTAACCTTTTTGCTATTTTCTGGAGGGTGGGGGGACATCGGAGAGCTATTCGGATCAAGTTTCTCTTTATCTTTGTAGAGAGAAAAAGAGATATAATAATTAGATGATTAGATCTAATTTAATCTCTCTCTTTTTATCAAGTCTTTCTCTTCTCTCTTCATTATCTCCCTTTATCAATCTCTCCAATTAAATTGGAGAGCTCTTAAGACAAGTCCTCTAATATTTTGCTTTTTTTCTGGAAGGGGTTGGCCTCTCTATTTTAAAAATTATTTTAAACTAGATTAAAACCTTTAGGAGTAATTCCACCTTCAACAACTTCCACTTTCAGCACAAAAACAAAAAATAAATAAAGGAGAATAAAAATAAAAAATTTAAACATTTTAAATTTTTTAATTTAAATTTTTAATTTTAAATTTATAAATCTTTATAAGAAATAAAAAAATTTTTTTGTCAAATAAATTGATTAATTAAAAAAATATAGTCAAGTGTTATTTGCTTTAATGCCCTTATATGTCAATGTAAGGTAGTTTGTGTTATGGTGTTTATATGTATAAATGCCGCCTTTGCGTCTTGCGACAGCGAGAATTAATAGACATTTTGTTTACAAACAAATCTTTCAAAATTTAGAATTTTCAAAATACTAGACGATGACCTAACAACCCTGGAAGATATGAAAATTCAAGGTGTTGATTTTGGTTAAATTAGGGAAGTTTTTTTGGAATTTTTAAAAGTTATTATTTTTGCAAAGTCTGAATTTTTAATATTTTATGGAAAGAAAGGAGGGGGTATACGAACTTCAATTTTACCGTTTTTCTGTATGGTTTAGTAAAATTAGAAGCGATTGGGCAAGGTTTCCTCAAAACTCATAAAATAGGCACTTTCGTTTTTAGGCGATTAGGGTTGTTTGGCCATCATTTCTCTTGGACATAGGCCGCCGGAAAGCGATTTTAAAAGAGAAATTTTCTATAAAATTGGTAAGGCGGAATTCTCTTTTAATGAAATTTTGATTTCGCAACTTCCTTCCGTTTCTTTAAGCGGCTTTTTTGACTGTCTGATGTTTACAAGGTCTAAGAGGGTAGAAAAATCTTTATCGGATAAATCTTTTGATTAAATCGCTTTCAAAATAATACAAGATGACGTCCTTTTAAGTTACGTTTTCTTAAAATTCAGCCTGCTTTAGGCTGAATTTTTAAATTCAGCCTGCTAAATTCAGCCTGCTTTTTAAAATTCAGCCTGCTCAGCCTACTTATTGGGGAGCTGATCAACGCCTCATTATAAGAGACTAGGTTCTGGACCAAACCAAACCGAAGAACCGATGATTTTTCGGTTTGGTTCTTCGGTTTGGTTCCGGATATTCGAAGATTTTCAAGATACGACAACCCTATAAGGGGCTATTTTTCATCCCCAAGGGTGCATCCTTGAGTTTTGACTTAAATTAAAAATAAATTTAAAAAAATTTATTTTGCATCAAATTTTAATTTAAAATAATTTTACTACTTAAAATTCATTTTTCAAAAAATATATTTCTTAAATCTTAAATACATCCACACTCCTCCTCAATTCAATAACCTTCATTTAAATCCAATTTTTCATCACAAAATAAATCAACTTCAGAATTTTTAGTTTTTGAACTCTCTCCCTTCTCCTTTTCATTTAATTTTTCAGAAGCCTTCTGATTTTCTTCCTTTGGATAAAACGAAAAGTCAACCTTTTCTGGCACTATTTTCCATTCTTCTGGGGTTGTTACTTCGATTTCTTCATCATTCAAATTTTCTTTAATAAATCATTCAAACGTAAAGTCGAAAACCTCATTATAAGATAAACCCTAGGGGTATGAAAATTGTCTCTTATAATGAATTGTATATTAAATAGAAGGTATCGCCTAGACAGCGTCCACCACCAAATGGCCAGCAGACTATTAGGATCTTAAATGGATCCTATATCTTAAATGGATATTATATGGAGGTGTATATTATATGGAGATATGGAGGTATCTTAGATATGGAGATATTATATGGAGGTATCTTAAATGGAGGTGTATCTTATGAGGTTAAGTATCTTATAGCGAGAGTATCTTATAAAGAGGTGTCTCTTATAATGAGGTGTCTTTAATAATGAGAGGTATCTTAAATATCCCCTTGGGTAATCTATTTTTAGGATATATCTAATATTGAGTGTCTCTTATACCGAGGTTTACTCTAAACAAAAAATTTAGAAAACCCATTTTTATGGACTCATTTTTTTCATCCTTTATTGGACTAGTAACATCTTTATCTTCTTTCTTTCCCTCACTATTCTCTCCTTCAAAAGCGAAACGTCTAGTAGCCCTCGAATTTTTCTTTATTTTAATTTTTTTATTCTTCTTAAGTTTCTTAATATTTTTATTTTCTTTTTTAATTTTTTCCGGTGTTTTAAAAATAAATTCTGATTTTATTTTCCGATTTTCTGATAATTTTTCTTTTTTAATGTCTTCTGGTAAATTGGCTTAAAAACGAGTAAATTAATTCAATTAATTAAATTTAAAATCAACCCAAAATTTGGACATTTTCTTTGTCCTCGTTTTCTTGTTTGGTTGATGATGTTGGATTTTTGTTTGGATTTGTATTGCTTTCTGAAATAATTTTTCAGATTATATATAGCCAAACCTCTCTATTAAATAGCCCATTACCTTAGGATACATCTGTACTCATTATAAGCGACAATTTTTTAAGCCCCAAGGGAGTATCATATAATGAAGTTCAACTTCTATCTAATCTACTCTCATTATCGGAGACAATAAAATAGAAGTCTATTTACGTATACAATCTATTTTACGTAACTATTTGTATTCGCCTCTAAAGGGTAGGTTCCGGATTCGGATACCCGGGATTCCCCAGAGTCCGTTAATCTTATTGGGGAGAGCTGTTTTATACTCTCTGAATTGCATACATTAATCTATTAAACCTCTGTTTTACATAAAGATATTTATTTAAAGTCGACTCTCCCCTAGTTTAACCCTCCAACTTTAGAGGAGGTCGGCGGATTTTTTTAATTTTTATAATTAATTAAAAACCATTTTTTGATTCCAAAACACCTTCACTAGTTTTCAACAAAATAAAAATAAAATAAAAAATAAATAAAATTATTTTTAGCATTTTTATTAATAATAATTCGAAGAATTCAAAAAATCTATTTTTATTCTCCCGATTTCATTATTTTATATGTCCTTTTATTCTTAAAAGTCATTATTGCCTTAAATTATTATTGTCCTTTCCCACAGACATTTAAAAGTTTTGAAATTTAATTTTAAAATTTAAAAAGTTGAGAAATTTATTTAAAAAATTTTAAATCCTGTCGAGGAGTTTCGAAGTAATTACGACTATTTTCGAGTTGCAATTTACGTAAACATTCTTTTCTGATTACCACACACACACGCCCTTCAATGTTGCAACTCTGTTTTCCCCTATAGCTTCGTTATAAGATACTCCTAGGTGTTAAAATCCTTGTCTATTATAATGAGTTGTATTTTAAATAGAAGGTATCTCTTCAAAAACTCCCTTCCCAGTGTATCTTAAAATGGTCTTATAATTAAGTTTATGTTTTTTGTAAGAGAGATGTTGTCGCAAAATGAGACTACAAATTTTTTCAAAAATTCAATTATGCAAGTAAGTTCCAAATTCTGCAAAAATATCATTAAGAACTGGATACTAAAATGCTCAAAACAATGCAAAAACACCATTTTTGGCTTCTCTTATCATAGCATATCAGCATACAACACAAGCATTTGCTAGTTTTTCCCAGCCCTACTTATTCGAAGATACATCTTTCGGGTAGAAAAATCGTACCTTATAATTAGGAGTATACTAAATAGAAGGTATCGCTTCAGGAACTCTCCAACTCAGTGGCTAACGCAAATTGAAGTGTTGGGAGTTTCCAGCTTATTTCTCTTCTTTTGGCAAGGTGAAGGAGTGCCAACAGCAATCATTACCTCCTAGTGATACTTACTGAAGAACACCTTGAACTTGTTAGCTGCTGAAATTACTAATTTAATTAATTTTTTTTAATTTAATTTTATTTTTTTCTATTAATTAATTTTTATTTTTAAATTTTCCTTTAAAGATAAAATTAAATCAATTAAAATTTTCCCAATAATTGCTTTAATTTTTATTTAAAAAATTATTTCATAATATTGAGTGAAGGCATTGGATATGCTGTTGTTTATTAAATAGCATTGCTAAAGTCTCTCCATTAATAAATTTTTTTCTTTATAAATTTTTATTTAAAAATAATTTAAATTTTGAAATAACCTCCATATAATATACACTCGATACTAGGCAAACCTCTATTAGAAGATACGGTCTTTGAAAGATGGCTCTTTCTATTGAAGAGACTCTTAATCTCTCTAAATTAAGGATAGAAAGATTTAAGAGAGTTTCACTCTCTATATAATAGACATTCATTATAAGAGACATTTTTACAATCATATACATGATGAGTCCAGACTTCATTAAAACCCCCAAAAAATATTTCTTGATTTCATAAAAATATTCTTAAAATTATTTTTTAACATATTAAGTTGTTCACATGAATTTCATAGCAAATTCAAACAAGTACCTTTAAAATTTAATTAAATTTTACTGTTTAAAACAGTCTGATTTCTAAACAGTCTTGGCCTCTAAATATGCGGCAAGAATATTTTTTGTTAAATATTTCTCATTCTGATATACCCCCAGATATACTCCGTATTTTTCGGCCCCAAAAGGATATTATAAACGAACAAGATCCGATTGTATTTTTAAATATTTTCTAGAAAAGTCTCGAGTAATGAATTTATATTTCTTCTTAAAATTAATGTTTGGAGCAAGCTTTTGTTTGTTTGTGATTGATGCTATGCCTCGTAATCGTAAGTTATTTTTATTGGAACATAAAAGAATATGTTCCTATTGTTTAATAAATTTGGAAAAAATATTTTATAGGAAGACCACAAGGTCAACAAGGTAATCAGCAACATCATCTATATGAACAACATGGACAATATGGACAGCATAATTACCCCCCACCAATTACCACCCATCAACCTTTATACTATGGTGATCTACTTATTTTTTATACGTTAAAAATTAATTATTATCAAGTCGAATCTCACTATAAGACATCCCTCGGGGCCAAAGCTGGACGAAATAGCGGATTGCGGACTGAGCATTGCGTGGTTTTTTGACTCGTAGATTGCATCTGCAGAGGTATTTTTCATTTGTGTCCAGCTCGCGGTTTAAAATTCGTATTCTAAAATGCGGGGTATCTAATATATAGAGGGCATCTTATAGTGAGGTTTTAATCTGCATGATTACATTTTTTAATTTTTAGCTCCTCCTATTTTACATCCTCAACCACCTATGATGTTTCATCATCCACCTCCTCCACCTCCTCCTCCTCCCTTTATACCAGCTGTTCAACTGCATCCAATTTTGCCTCATCCACCACCAGCGTATATTCAAATTTAATTTATTGATTAAATCATAAATATTTTTAGTGTTTATTATCCTGCAATGCACCCACCAGGACCCCCACCACCACCATTTTTGCCTCAAGACGACTTGGCTTATGGCACTCATCATTATCACCAGTATCAACCAGGATGGGACCAACAACTTTATCACTATTGGCACCAAAATAATCCGGTTCAATCATCAATGCAATATCCGGGGAATACTACTCATTCTGGAGAGAGTTCAAATATTCAGGTGAGAGTTCAAAGATTTTACAATTAGTGATCGGACCGTACAGTACTACGAGCGTATTTTTCGGTTTCTAAAATTAGCTTGGCCACTGGATGGAAGGCGATATCCTCTATTTAGGTAGACCTTACATGTTAGATAACCCGAAATCAGATATCCTAAGCTTAAGAGACCTCAGTAAGATAAAGAGATTTAATTTTATTAATTCAGAATGATAATGATGAAGAAACGGAGGTAAGCAAAACCAAAATGTATAAGATACTTCCCAATGCTAGACATAAAAATACTGCCGATTAAAGAAATGAATCTGCGATTTTCGGGAAAGGGAAAAAAATTTTTCGCAACCACCATCTAATTTTAAAACCCGCAAACGCCCATCTGCAACTAAAAATTGCAATTTTGTTAGCCACGGCTAGTTTAGACACAGACAATTTATGGTCATTAAAGATCAGTTTAATTTTAAACAAATATAGGTAGTTCAAAGTGATGATGATGAGAAAATTTTTTTGCCTAAATCACTTGAAGAAAATGATCATGAACTTGAAGGTATTTTGAAATTAAAATTTAATCAAATTTTAAATTTCAGAGGTCAAACCGCGCAATCAGACTGGAAAAAGAAAGGATTTTGGAAAAAAGAAAGGCATTTGATTATAGTGATAAAACATTATTTAACAATACATATGAGTATTATGTAGTAGATTATAAAATTATTATTCGTTCTAAGGTTCATTTTTTTCAAGTCTGATACTGAAAAATAAGCATTTTTGATATTTAACTATGCAGTCTGATCTAATTAATCCTCAACCCATTGGACTCAGAAATCGTCCGTTATAATGAGGGTACCTTATATAGAGGGTTCACTTTAAACAAACATAACCTAAATTGAGGTTTTATAGTGCTGGGGCATCTTAATGAGGTCTGAGTCTTAATCTGAGGGTATCTTACATAGAAGGTATCTAATATTGAGAGGTGTCTAATAGAGAGGTCCAACTAAATATATTCGTTCATCTCTTCTCGAACCATTTCTTAAACATATTTACATTTTCCCCTCGCCCTCGAACATCGTTGCTTTTTTTTTGCATTCTTCTAGGCCATCGGCCCATTTATTGTTATGGCCGACGATGACCTCATCAGTAATGGAATGACCTCCAAAATTTATTCTCATTCTTTCCTAATAATTGAAGGAAAAAACCAAATGCCTCAAAAGCTATCCAAATCCTACTTAATGGATGTTCTATAAATAGCAAAATTTGATATGTAAATGTTTGGTTAGATAATTACTTACATTCCTAATACTAGATAAGATACATTTTTCAGAATTTAATTAAACACAGCGCGGGGAAGCTGCAAAAGAGATAACCTACTTAATATTTTTCAGATTAGGTTGGCGGATATGGATATCCAAGTATGAAACGAGTCCTAATATTCGGAGATCTTCCAGGATCCGCTCCTTGATTAAGACCAAAGAGATTACGTTATAGTCAGGTTTGACTGTAATAGAACTCTTTTATTCTCCATAAAATATTTAAAATTTTTCATAAAATTAGAGACCGGACTTGAAGATCAATCGAAATTCAAGATAGGTATCTCGAAAAATCTCCATCTGATTAATCCAAATTTTTGCAAGATTTCCTCTCTGTCCGTTTATTAATCAAAAAAATTCTTTTACAAAGATTCAACAAGAATTAACATAAAAAGGAACGGAAGAACGGGCCCTAATGGCGTCATCTGTTGCTCAAAAAAGAGAAGAGAGTTTTGAGTTTTTGTATACATTTTTCTTCTCATTTCTCTTCAATCTTTCCCCCATTTTTTGCTTAAATCCACTCTTGCCCCCCATCTGTTGCCAATTGTGTGTTGTGACCCATCTCCCGTCGATTCTTGTACTATTTGACCTCGTCCGCCCTTTTTTTAGTTTTTATTTTTCCTCTGATTACTAGTGAAAAACTCAGAAAAATTGCACATTTATCGAACGAGAATATAGCAAATATTTGACCTTTTTTGTCCTCTTTTTTTAATTTAAATATTTTAATTAATTTTAATTTTTATATTGTTTTAGTGGAAATTAGAAATATTTATTTACTGAAAATGATTATTTTTTAAGATCACTAAGATCTCTACTTTAAAATCTCCCTTTTAAAATCCCCTACTGAGATACCCTATTTATCCCCTTATTTTAGATCCCCATCCCCCTTTGAAATCCCTACTGAGATCCCCTATCCCCTATTTTAGATCACTTATATCCCCTATTTTATCCCCTACCACCTATTAATTCCACCGAGGATTTGGCTAGAACTCAAGCATTTTAAAAATCAGATTGAATCCGAAAATTGGAGGATCAGACCACTCAGATACTCGATCGAGTAATTTCGAATACTTAGAGTTCAAACTTTGTACGTCGTTCCTTTGTCTAAATCTAGAAATTTTCGAATTCGATTTTAGCATTATTCCCATCTACATTTAATAAACGATCAAGAACCACACAGGGGAATTGATCGAGAAAATACGGTAAACCTAATTTTCATTAAATTTTTCTTTTTTTTTCAATTTTATTAAAATTTTATTTTTATTTAAAATTTTACTTTTAAGAATTGAAATGATCCTTTTTCTATTTTCTCGTTAAACCTTTCCCTCTCAATTCCCCTTTTCAAAAAACTCCAGAAAAGCGATCCCCAACCTCCTTTCTTGTATTTAAAAATTCCCTCTCTCTCTCTCTCTCGCAATTTTAAACCCCCCCCCCTCCTCAATTTGACCCAGACAAACCAAAAAGATATAAAAAATCCGAACATTCAATCGGTTAGAAAAAAGAAAAAATGGAAAGGAAAACGAACGACCCACAAAAAAATTAGCAAAAAAATTGGGGGAAGAGACCAACAATCGACAAATAAATAAATATAAATAATTGAAAAAATTCGGGAATAGAAATATTTTTTGATCAGTTAGCTACACACAAATGGAATTTGTAAATTTTGAATAAAAAAATTTTTTCCTTCAAATATTTTAAATTCTTTTATTTTTAATTAGCAATGTGCCGAATCTCTACTATAAGGTATTCTCAATAAGGTCAGTTAGCTCCAAAAAGCCATGCCCCTTGGTTCTATCCCTTGGTTCGTAACCGAATCTAAGAGCCGAAAGATCCTCGCCATTGGTCTTCGGTTTTGTTTAGTTCCGAATATTCGATGATTTTCCAAGAACCGACAACCCTACCCCCAAAATTAGAAACAACTCAAATTTAAAATATTGACTTCTCCTGTGATAGGAACTATAGGGGTCTTTCGTATTTCAATATTTCAAATTATTTTATTTTTAATTACCAATGTGCCAAATCTCTACTATAAGATACTCTCAAAAATAAGTTATTCTCAATAAGACAGTTAGCTCTAAGAAAGCCAAGTCCCTTGGCTCTATCCCCTGGTTCTAATCAGATTGAAGAGCCTAAAATCCTCGGACTTGGTCTTCGGTTCGGTTCAGTTTCGGATATCCGAGGATTTTCCCGTCCCGACAACCCTATTACCTCCAAAATTAGATACAACTTAACTTTAAAATATTGACTTGCCCTGAGAGGGGAACTACAGGGGCCTTACGTATTTCGATTTTAAATCAAGTTTAGCCATTTTTCTCCTTGAGGAATCGGCACATCCTTGAAGAAAGGGGTATTTTATATTCTAAAGTGATATCCTACACTGAAGTAAGGCTGTATTTGAATAGGACCAGTATCTATCCCTTGAAGTCCTTGAAAAAGGGGTGATCTCTTTAAGTGTTCTGATTTTAAATTCTGATTATATGTATCTTTCTGATTTGACATTAATTTTCATTCTATCACTAACAACCCACAAACTTTTAATCCAGAAACTTTAAAACCCCCTAAACCAACTTTCTTTTTAAAAAATTTAATTGTTTCACCAATTCACACACTCTCTAATTTTGGCAGATGACCATTCCCAACTCTATTCCAAACTCCCTATAAATTCCCAACTCATACTCACATTGTCATTCAGCATATAAATCTACTCTTTAGGCGATTAAGCGATTGGGGGTGAATTCCTGTTCTACTTTCACTTTTTTTTCGTTTGCGCGGACTATCTAGAAAGACAAGCCATGCGAAACAAAAAAATTTTTTTAGAAAATGAAAAGTGAGAGAATATTTTTGGGGAGAAAAAAATTTTTTAAAAAGGGAAAATCAGCTCTAGCTTCTCCTCAACAAATCCGAATTGCTCTCTCTTTTCCCTTTCTCTTTCCAATAAAAAGCCGAGGCATATAACTCGTCCTTTGACAAAGAATTTTTATATTCAAAAAGCGATCTTCTTCTCCTATTTGTTTTGGCTTGCTCTAGATTTTTATTTTTCAAATTTTATTACATTTTTTTGATTACGAATAAATTTTAATTTTACAGTCGGACCTTACTTAGATACACCTTTTGGTTATTGAAAAAATTCGTGCTTTATGAAGAGGTGTATATTAAATAGGGAAGTATAGCTTAGGCAATTCCCCACCCCAAGCATATCTTAGAATGAGGTATGTCTAGTATAGGAGGTATTTTGTGATGAAGTTTGGGTGTCGTATAAGCAAGTAGGTGCCAAATAATCGGGTGTAGGCACTTCCCTTTCCCCATGATTAACTATATTTTAAATAGAGGTGTACATAGTAGGGACATCTCTTAAATAGTGGTGTAGTAGGGATATTAATAATGAGGTTATACCTTATAATGAGATGTTGATTGAATAGGGTGTATCGTATAGGAAGCTTTCCACTCCCACCAGCTAACCGAATTTCAAGAAAGCCTATCCTAATTAGAGCTGTACTTATATTGGATGTCTTTAATATTGAGGTCCGGTTGTAAATTCATTTTCCCCTTAAAGATTTCAAATTTTTTAAATTTTCCCACCCTCATATTTCATTTTCACATTTTTTTCTTAACTCTTTTTTATTGCCTCTTTTCTGTTGCTATTTTTGGTAATCTCTTCTCCCTTACCTTAAAATACCCATATTTAGCTCCCCTTTCGGCTGTCTGAGTTTGCACATGAAAAAATTTTACTAGCTTTCACATTAGCGGCGGTCATTTTCGGTCATTTATTGCGTTCACTAAAAAAATATTTTTTTATATTTTTCCCAATACTTTCTTTTTATAAATACACCTCAATCCGATGGCCTAATTTTTTTTTCGTTTATTCGAACGGTGACAGATGGAGGGATATTTTTTTTCTTTTAAATTTATCCATGTTTTTTGATCACTAAATATGGTGAAGATTTTATAGGATTTTTAAAAAATATTTATTTTCCTTCTTGGATTTCATCGGGAAGGATTTTTGTTTTTTTTCTTTCATCAACCATCTACCCTTATATTAAAAAATTTTTAGACCTCTGTTTTAATTTTTAAACCTATTTTTTACTATAAGATATACACAGAATTAAATGATCCTCAGTCTAACATAGTATACGCTTTTTAGAATTTGGTCGGCCATGGGGTGGCGGGATGCCTAAAGGATACCTCCTTTTTAAAAAACAACTGATCAACCACATTCTCTTGGAAGTGAGGATAGCTAAGTAAATTATTTATCAACTCATATTCCCTTAGATTAAAAAAATTTTTAGACCCCTCATTTAATTTTTATGCCTACGTTTATCACTATAAGATGCCTGTCGGCCACTTGTTGTACCGTAACTGTCCTAATAGCCCCGGGGCCTCTATTTTTTAATTGGTCTCATTTAATGGGCTTCCCAAGACTTTGTCTTATAACGGGATCTGACTTATTAAATTTCAATTTTAAATATTTCAATTCCCTCCTTGCTTATTCTGTCCATGCCCTAGTTTTCTTTTACTTTATTTTCCTATTTTTAAAAAACCCTAAAAATTACTGCTTTTTAATCTTTTTTAGTTGAACAAGCCAGCTACTTTTTCAATCATTTCTTTTCCTCTCACCGCGCACCTCCGTTTTCTTCCTTCCTCCTTGACCGGCTTTCTAGTCAGACAAACAAAACTAATTTTACTTTCATTTGCCCTAGAGGTTGAGGAATGCTCCGATTTTTTTCTTTTCATTGCTTCTTTGTAAAAATTGGCGGAGCTTTGAAGAAAATTGTCTGACCGATCGGAAAGAAAATGAAAGGGAAAGACCTTGATGGTGAACAGAAAAAAAGACCCGGATATATGCCCTTGCCCTAATAGCCTTTTTATTTTTAAAAAACTTGCTTCTGTTGAAAAGTTTTTTTTCCTCAGTGCATTTTCTTTAAAATAAAATATATCAAGCAAATTAATGAAATATTCGGACCTCACTATAAGATCAACCCTTAGGGCATAAAAATTTTTTATTTTTATCCTTAACGAGGGGTATCTTAAATAGGAGTTATATTGCTTAGGCAACTCCTCAACCCAGTGTCTAACACAAATTTTAGGCAGTATCTTAAGTAGAGGTGTATCTTATAATGAGGTTATCTTAAATAGAAGGTGGGGTTAATCGAGAGGATATCATTAACAGAGGTGCCTTTAATAAGAGATAGTATCTTACAAAGCCAGCTCCCCCACCCAATGGTCAATCAAATTTATAAAATCGTATCCTAGAACAAAGTTTATCCAGTATCTTGGAGGTATCTTATAGATGGGTCAGACTATACATACATTTATTTTTTCCTCTAATTAATTTTGTTTTATTTTTTCTCTGAAAATTTATTTAAAAAAGTTGGTGACCTACAAACATAATTTATTAAAATAGGAAAAAGATTCTATCTAATTTACGTCAATCTCCGGGATTTAAGCGGACCAATGCTTCTTTAATATTTTTACCTGTTCCTTTCCTTCTAAACTTGTTTTTTAATAAATTAATATGTATATTTAATTTATTATCTGCATATTTATTAAAATTATTTTTCAACATTTTCCTTTCTCAATTCAAGAATTAAAAAGTGAATTATTTTTTCCAATCTTATTTCCGCTCTTTAAATCATCTTCAACCTTAGAGCCATAACTTCTCTAATCTACTTATTTTAGATATTGCTTATTATTTTCTCGATTAATTCCCCCTTGGGGATTTAGATTTCAACTCATCAGTGAGATGGGTTGGAATCCGTGCAGAAAATTGGAATAAACATTGGGAAAATCGAGAGCGAGGGATCGAGAGTTAAGGAACTAATCGAAAATCGAAATTGATAAAGTCGAGAATGAAGAATTATTCGAGGGTCAATGTCCAATTGTTTCATTATTTAATTGTCTTGTCTCCTATAATTTGAAATTTTTTTATAATTTTTTTACAATTTGTATGTTTTAAAATTAAAAAATATTTAGAAAAATGGAATGAATAAATCAAATTCACATTTTATATCCAAGCAAAAAATTGGATTAAACAGAGAAAAATGTGAATTATTAAATGATTGCGATAATGTTGGCAATAATCAAAAGTTCACTGAGTATACTTCAAATAATTTGTTGAGACGGTATGGGATTTTTTAAAATAGTTAATACTGTATTTTCTGAATAATCCCCCCCCCCTCCACCATATGAAGTAGATCCTCCCCTAGATAATACGTCACTTGGGACCGAAGTAACCGACATTTTAATGGAAGACACGTGAATCGTGAAGATATGATATCGAAAGGAAGAGGCGCTTATGACCGAAAATTTTCCAAGACTCAGGACCGAGAAGACCCCAAGGAAGGACTTGGGTCAAGCCTCAAGACCAGGAATCTTGGAAGTCTCTAATATCGAGATTTAACTATAATTAATTTAAAGAACCTCCTCTCTTGAAAACAATAACGACCGTCAACAACAACAACGAAGAAAAAGAAGTAATGAACCTTTTGCAAGAACAACAACAACTTCCTCAAATAAGGAAAAACAAAGGAAATCGGTTAATATTCAAAGCGGGAAGCAGGATATTGAGGAGTGCTTGAGACAACTTACAAGAGAAAATGAAATACAAAAATCAAAGTTGGAGGAGCAGATTCGATTAAATTCTGTAAGGAAATAAGGCACTAATACAGACAGACCCTTCTATAAGATACACCTCTATTTAAGATACGCTCTCTTAATTGAGAGATTAAACCCTCTATTAAACATATACCTCAGTATAAGAAACTTTTATAATCCTCGTTATTAGAGACACACCAAGGGAGGTCTATTATAATGAGGGTCAAGACCTCTATTTAACATACAACTTATCATAAGATATTTCCTATTCCCAGGGAAATCAGTTATAGTGAAGCCCATAACAATTTTTTAATTTAAAAAGGTAATTGTTGCAAATCCTTCTTTGGCTAGCTCATTAAATTTCTCTAATGAAAATAATTTCGGATGTATCCTTCCAACAATTCCAAGTAATTCCTCTTTAAACAACAATGAAATTCAAAATTTTATCGCTACAACTTCTATAGCAACAGAAATACCTTTAATATTTTCTTCTTCAACTCCAGAAACATCAAACAACAACAGCAGCACATTACAAAAATCAGAACGCTCTGCTTTTTCTGTTATTCGTGCTGGAAGTTTAGTGGGGAATGATAAAGTGAGTATCCGACATTGTCTTCAATAAAAATTAAATTTTTAAAATTTAGCAAAAAGAAGCATCACCCTCCCCTTCAACAGCTTCAATCCCTCCCCAATTACCTCCAATTCCATTAGAATTGCAATCCTCCCTAAATCCTTATATTTCAACACTTTCAACTTCCCCCTTCTTTTTTCCTTTTCACAGCAACAGTCAACAATTAGAATTTATCCGTTTGGCTTCTCAATTAGTCCCTTTTTCTCTTTTTTCCCAAACACAACAACACCAACAAATATATGAACAACAACAACACAACAACAATTCAATAGTCTCCTCATCTTCAGATCCACAACAAAAACTCTATGAGCAGGCAATCCTTATGAGCATTAATCACCTCCCTTTGGATCACCTCCCCAACTTTGAACGGCCATAACTCGGCCCAAAGTCTCTAATTTAGTTTATTCTCCCCCTATTCGACACTCAGTTGAGGGTGTTATTAAAATTAGAATTTTATTTTTAATAATTTTAAGTAAAATTATTCTAACCGGTATATAATTTTCTCTGCGCAACAATAATTCTTTCCCAAAATTTTTAATAAAATTTATATCCAAAAAGTGCATTCCATACAATCTCCCTATTTTCAAATTTAATATTAACAAAATTTTTATTTGTTCATTCTTCCATTTTAAAATTTATTTTTGTTTCAATAATCCAAAAATTATTTTTAGTCCGTTTTATTTTTAATTGGAATAGTGACAAAAAAATTTTGAGTAGAACCAAAAGCAATTCACCTTCTGTAAGGGCAGTTCACCTTTTGACAATTGGAAGAATAAACCTTTACTGGAGGGGCAATTCACTAATTCACCCAAACACCCTCTAAAAATTTACCTCTGAAGAGGAAGTTCACCTCTAAAAGTTAACTTTCTGGCTATCATCTTCTGGAAGGGCAATTCACCCTCTGACCCACAAAACCCTCCAAAAGACACACTTTTTTTGATAAAATTTTTTTATTTATTTAGGCAAATGGTATGACTAAAACCCAAGGGCATTCATATGATACCCAATCTCCCTCACAAATTAATCAGTTTTCGCATCCTCTCACTTTGGATACATCAGAACCAACAACACAAGAACATTTAGAAAATTTTACTCACGAATTGAGACACGAAGAAGCTCAAGAAATACCTCTAGATTTTAGGTATCTAATTATAAATTTTCAAAATATTTTCTCAAATATTATTTTTAGCGTTATAAAGCATGGAATCAAAAAACATTTGACCAGAAATAAAACAAAATCGGTTATTTGTACTCCATCAACAAATGAAGGAGGAGAAACTTCAACATGTTACAAACACAAGGGTCAATGCAAAAAATTTAATTTTTGTTTTGAATTTTAAGAAATTTTAATTGAATGCCACAAATTAATTTTCGACCCTAAAAACTCATTATAAGACACCTCCATTGAGGCAGAAAAATCGTATCTTATAATGAAGTTCTATTAAATAGAAGGTATCGGTTAGACAACCGCTCTACCTAGTAGATGACCTAATTTTAAGAGACGTACCTTAAATAGAGGTCTTGTATTGGGAGTATCTTATATAGAGGTTTCTCTGATATTGGGGGTATCTTATATAGAGGTTTATCTGGTAGTGGGGGTATCTTAAACCGAGCTCAAGTAAATTTACATTTTTCTTCTCAGCATGTGAACAGCCGCTTCCTTTAACTACTACAATTCCTGAAAGCCTTCCTCCACCTACAGAATTGCCTCACCCCTCACTTGTCTTTCCCGAGAGAAAAACTGTTTTGGAAATTACTGGTAGAAGAAAATTTTTTGAATTTCTTAGAATTTTTTTTCTAATTTTAAGGACCACCTCTACCCTCTTCTTCAATAAATTCTCAACAAACTTCATTCCCTTCATTTTCTTCTCAACAACTTTGTTGCCAGCATGGTAAACAACAACAACAAACAAATACAAATTCTCCTTCTTCTATTTTCCGCCCTCTCGCAAATTTTTTACTTTCAAAATCAGAACAAAAACATCATTATTTAACTGGATTGCTTAACCCTATTGAACCACAATTAAATTCAAAAATATCCAAAGAGAAGGGAAAAGTAGATGAAGAATTACAACAACCCTCCTCTTCAAAACAAATTAATTCTGCCAACAAAGGCATCTTTTTAAATTGAATAACCAGTCGTTTATAATAGTCAGACCTCTCTATAGATACCTAAAAGTGTCTCTTATAATGAGTTGTACGTTGAATATTGGGAGTCGTTTAGGTAGCCCCCCCCCGCCCCCCACTCCTTGGGCAAACAAATTTTATAAATCGTATATTGAATTGATGTGTATATAAGATAGAAGGTATATGATATATAAGATAAACTTATATCAGACATCTATATAAGATACTCTCACTATAAAATAACGTCCAATTAAGGTACGTTTTTAAAATTTGTTTAGCCACTTGTTAGGGAATTGCCTAGACAAAAACCTCTGTTTAAACGATACCCTCTGAATATACAACTCATTATAGGATAATACTATTTCAATCCCAGGGAGTTCCTTATAGGGAGGTCTGAATGTATTTAGCAAATTTACTCTTATTTTAACAGAAACACTTCATCCTCTACCCTCCTCTATCCAGTCAACATCATCAAATATTCGTTCATCCTCCTCAAATTCAATGTTGGGAACTCTTTTAGCAGCCCCCAATAAACTTCAAATATCTCCAACAGTTCCCGCTTCCAGAACAGAATTTTTTAGTGGATTAACAGCTTTTCAGCGAAGCGAAGTAAAAATAATTGAGAAAGAACAACAAGTAAAAAAAGCTTCAACATCGTCTTCGAGTGACAGTGAACACTCGGTAGTCAGTCAACCTTCCCCTAATTCTATGCATTCTTTACGTTCACAGTGAGGAAATTAAATTTTTAAAATTTTATCAAGTCAGACCTTATAATAATGAGGGTATCCATTAAATAGAGGATATTGGTTTGACAGTTTTCCTGCCCATTGCCAACCAAACTTTACGAACCGTACCTTAAATTGGGGTGTTACCTCGAGTATGACCTCACTTATGTGTACCCCCACTAATTTGTACTGATCAACTCAGGAGGTCAACTGACCCTAGAAGTCAATCCAAATATTAGGGCGGATAAGCAAAGATTTGTGGGGATTAAGAAGTATTTGTGGGGAATAAAGGGTTATTGATGGATTTGTTGTTTCACTGGATGGGGAGGATCTTCCTAAGAGATGCCCCCTCAGGCGGATATGTAAAGTCCGACTGTATTGAAATCCAACTGAATTAACTTTAAATAAATTTAAGTATATCTCAACATTCCACCACCTCGTCAACATTTCCTGGCACAAGTTCAACAACTATTGGAGGAGATAGTGACCGAACAAGACGAGGCGGTAGCTTTTCGCCTTCTGGGTGTTGTTGTTTATTTGCCTTATAAAAATTAATTTTTTTTCAGAAATTCTGGTTTTTCTGGTGACGATACATTAGCGGAACCTCTTCAACCTTCTTATCAGGCCAATTTATTGAGTAACAATTTAAAAGAAAATTTTTTGAGAAATGGAGACAATTTGCTGTTGAATGATGGAGGGAATGATTGTAATATTAATTGTGAAATGGAAGGGAGTGTTGCTTCCCTTAGAGTAAAACTAAAAAATAATGAAGAACTGGAACGAGTTAAGAGAATATTTTTGGGCCTCATTATGAGATACCCTCTAAGATTCTTTTCGGTCATGGGCAGAAAGTTTTTAACAAGTTATCCCCCCCCCCATTTTCCCCATAGTTTCTCAAAAAGATTATTTTCATATTAACACCCACAAGGTCAACTCCATATCAATTAAAAGAGGTCAACTCCATATTAATTAGGTTCTGCTGATCAACAGGGAGTTGACCTACGTGGGCCTATTAAGATCAACCTCCTGGTTTGATCTCTATTTTTCAAATATTATTTATGAATAGGCATTTTTCCAAGGATGGGAGATGATGGGAGAATTGCCTAAACGATACCTTTTATTTTAATATAACCTATAATTAGGGACTAATTCTTTTAAACCCCTAGGGTATCTCCTAATGAAGTCCAAATTTTAATTCTTCCTTCAAAAATAATTTCGAAAGAAATTTAGTATATGGATCGTCGACGCCGAAACAACGAAGCAGCCAAACGTTGCCGAGCAAATCGCCGAGCAGTTTTTGAATATCGTTCCCGACGGGCCCAACTGCTTGAAGCAGAAAATGGGGGTAATTTAAGGAGAAACCTAATTTTCTTTAAAAAATCTTTTGAAGAACTCCGCCAAGAAATGATTAAATTAAACAATGAATTGGAACAATTGAAAGCTTTGATAGCAGCAAATGCAGTTGCAGCATCACAAGAGACATCACCCTCCCAACAAAATCAACGTTTAATGCATAAAGCATAAATAAAATGTGCAAATTTATTAATGTAACACCTCTAAATATCGGATCTCACTATGAGATACCCCCTTAGGGATGAAAAGTCCCTTATAATCGGGTGTATATTAAATAGAGGTCATCCCCCTAATAATTCTACCAAGGTTTAAAAAAGTTTCTTAAATAGAGGTGTACCTAATATCGGGTGTCTTATAATGAGCGTGCCTAATAATGAGGTGTACCTCATGTGACCTTTAATAGAGGTTATTGCTTAAGCACAACCTCCCATCCAGTGAACCAGCTTCTAAAAAATTATCTTAAATAGAGGTTACCTAATATTGAGCGTGTATTATATAGAGGTCCGATTTTTCTTTTTTTGAACGTCTTTCACGACATTGATATTGTAATTTAATCCCAAAACTTTCTCTAATTTAATGTGCAATACACTTAAACTAAATAGATCAATTAATTAATGTGCACTTCTCACCATTTTCTAAAATTTTTATTTAAAAAAATTTGATAAAATTTATTCGAAAAATTAAAAAATAAACCGACAACACATTTTCCTCCAAAAATACTATTAGAAATAGAGCTGTGAGCATGAATTGTAGCATCTGCAAGTATTGAAGAGTCAACAAGACGAACACCTTCTATTTTAACACTTGCACCAATACAAACATTCGGGCCGATACAGCAATCTTTAAAAGAAAATTTAAGTCAACTCAGCTCAACGAGCTTTTAACGGACGTTTAGGGGACCGAGTTCACTTTCCAAATTTCAGGGGAGGGATATAGCTCCACAAGCTCCCCTGGCTACACCCGACTTATTGGATGGCCCAAAACATTTATCCCAAATCGACTCATGTCAGCTCGACGAGCTTTTTCGAACGACACACAATTTGTCGAAATCGGGTGGGCCAACGAAAACACCTTACAAGTCACACTACCCAAGGGAAGCAACTGAACGGAGATCTGAACATTGATAACGGGGATTTTCTTAAACTAGGTTTTAAAAAGGGGTAAAACTTGAATTAATAGACGAAAAATTGTGGAAACCAAATAACCAAACCAATAATTTCCAAACCTAATTTGCTGAATTCCAACGAAAGATTGGAGTTCTTCAGTGATTTCTTCTTCTGATTCTTGTTCTTCTAAAGCACTCATCAAATAGACGGTCTTCCCGCAACAATTCACTGCCCTACAAAATAATCTTTAAACCATAATAAATAATTTAAAAAACCCTCTTTAAACATTTTCAAGGGTTCTGAGTACACTCTCAAAGCTGAAAATTAAGTAATTGAAAAACTCTTAAAAATAAAAACAACCTATAAAAGATCAACAATTCAAAACAAACAAATCAGCACATCCAACCAATGGAACATTTGCTGTGCGTCTTCTCGTTCTGGCCACCATTTAATTGGCTTTAACATTGGGAAGGGATAAACTTATTTAAAGGAGAAACTTGCGGACAAAACTTGCGATTTTAATAAAGTAAAAAAAGCTAACCATGTTGACGAGAGCATTGGAGTTGAATTGTTGAAGATCGCCCAGCTATCTCCTTAGAGAAACTGGTGCTTTTTAGCCCGGCTATCTCCTTAGAGAAACTGGTGCTTTTTAGCCCGGCTATCTCCTTAGAGAAACTGGTGCTTTTTAGCCCGGCTATCTCCTTAGAGAAACTGGTGCTTTTTAGCCCGGCTATCTCCTTAGAGAAACTGGTGCTTTTTAGCCCGGCTATCTCCTTAGAGAAACTGGTGCTTTTTTGCCCTGCTATCTCCGGAGAAACTGGTGCTTTTTTGCCCTGCTATCTCCGGAGAAACTGGTGCTTATTTGCCCTGCTATCTCCGGAGAAACTGGTGCTTATTTGCCCTGCTATCTCCGGAGAAACTGGTGCTTTTTGTTGTTGCTGCTGCTGAAGTTGTTGCTGTTGTTGTTGTTGATGCTGTTGTTGATGCTGTTGTTGTTGCTGCTGTTGTTGCTGCTGCTAAAAATTGGACACGTTTTTCAAAAATTGAAAAAAGCAAGTCTTGTCCGCAAGTCATTACTCCTCCCCACCCCTCAAAAAAGTTAACCCCAAAAAAGGAAAAGCCACGCTCCAAGTTGTATGTAGAAAATCCTTGCTATAAATGGCAACAGAGAACACTAGATGAGTCATTAAAAATCGATTATTGATTTTTGGGATGAAGTGTCATTTATTCTTTACTTTTAGCATTATGCCAAATAGCGCAAATTTTTGAACTCTGAAAAAAGAAATTAACAGTGAAATGTTTGAGGTCAGTAGTGCGAAATACTACAGACAGCAGTAGAACAAAATAAACAGTTGTAAAGAAAATTTTAAAAAAATTAATTGTTAAAAAATTAACAATTTTTTAAAACAAAAGAGAAATAATTAAAATATTATTTTAAAAAATTCGATAAAATTTATTCGAAAAATTTAAAAAATAAAGCTTTTTTGTATAGTGAATAAATAGGGAAAAAATGATGGCAAGTTGTACTTTAATAGAATATTTAGGCAAATTTTTAATTGAAAGGGGGAGTGAATGAAAGGCTAATAAGGGGATATTTGATTTTTAAATAAATATTCAATGCACTTTAATTTAAAAAAAGGAAAAATAAATACAATCAACCCTCGCTATAAGATACCCTCATAGAGCTGAAAAGTCCCTTATAATGAGGTGTATCTTAAATAGAGGGCCTGGGCAACTTCCCCATTAGAGACCAACCAAATAGAAGGTATCGCCTAGGCAGCCTTTTCAATCTAGAAACAAACCAAGGTGTCTCTCTTTCAAGGCGTCTCTTATATTGAGTGTATCTTATAGTGAGACTCGACTTTTATTTGGTTTTCAAATTTTATTGTAACGTTAAAAATTCTGATGGAAATTGATGTTTTGGTGGTGGAGGAGGTTTTGTTGTATTTGTTGTTAAGGGTTGTTGTGGTAATTTATTTGACATATTCACATCATTTTTTAAATCCTTTGAATACTTTCCAGTGCCTAAAGGAGAAGTAACCTTGCTTTTTAATAAATGTTGTTGTTGATGTTGATTTTGAAGCATAGCTAATCCATCATCGAATTGTGCTCCACAATTTATTTCTCCTTGAATCATTGAAGCATAATCGTCATTTGTTTTCTAAAATTTTTTTTTTATCCTTCAAAAAAATTTCAAAAAAAAATCAAAAAATTTCAAAAAAAATTTACTGAGGCTTCAGGTGAATCACATCTTCCACGTTGTTGTTGTTGAGATACTTCTTGATTTTGAGGCCGATAAAATGAAAGGATTGGAGATATTGGCCAAACAGGCAGTTTTAAACCAAATTTAGGAGGATTCAATGTTCTTAAAAATAATTTACAGTTAAACCTCATTACAAGATAACCCTTATACCAGGAATAGGATTCCCCCAATTTTAAAATTATTTTAACGGAATTGTTCAACAAGTAACTGCGCATGAAAACGCAAGACAGCCCATCCCTACCCTGTATCCTTTCAATTAACTTTAATAAGGTGCATCTTAAATAGGGAAAATATCGCCCAGGGGGTATCACTACTACAACAATACCTCCCAATAACACTGGCTAACCAAAGTTTAAAGACATCCTAAACCGAGGAGTAGCTATTTCCTGGGGCTGTATTAAATTATTTTATCAGAATTTTATAAATACCCCTTCAAATTCTTTTAAAAAACCTTAGGGGTATATTTGTAGCAACAGCATTTTTTGGTGCATTCTTGTCGATTTTGTTCAAATGTGCTGCATCTGCAATCAAAGCTGCTGTATTTTTGTTGATTCTCTGACCACAGAAATTATTTGACATTGGACCCGGTGCATCTAAATAAAAATTTTTTTCAAAATTTTCAAAAAAAAAAATTAAAAAAAAACATCTTGGATTGTTAGCAATAACATATTGAGTTCTTTGTTGTTGATCAGTTAATGTAGGATGAGGATGGCTACTAGTAACATTTTGAGGAGCTCCAGAAGATCCCAAACAGGTAGAAGTAACTGGTGGATTACTCATATAACTGAAAAAAAATTGGAAAAAAAATTTTAAAAAACCACAAGGTTGAAGGTCTACGTTATTTCCGTATTGCTTTCAGGTGCTGGAGCAGGTGGTTTCTTAATTGAAGCAGTTTGGAAATCAGTGTCAGGTTTTTGTTGTTTTATTAAATGTTGTTGTTTTTGTTCTTCCTCAAGACGTAAACGATTAGCAATTATTTCATCTAAAAAATTTGGAAAGTATTACAAATAGAGGTTTTGATTGCTTAAAGTTATTCACCTCCATACCAAGATGCCCGGACTTTTTTTCGATCCGATGAAAATTTTGAAGGACCCAAGACATGACTTTTTTCTCAAACCGTGACATCCCTGCCCCACACGCCTAATAATCACCTCTAACTTCTAAAAAACTAATGTTAAATTGAGAATTTTTTGTGCGTAACTAAAAACGAGAGTTTGAATCCTAGGGATTAGGTTAAATTTTCCCAAAAAAAATTTTCTTAAGAAAAACAAACTTTTACTAACCATTAAAAACATAATAACATTTTTCATTGAAGGAGCTTATATTAACAACTGAAATAAAAACAAAAAGAATTTCATTGAAAAAAAATTTAAAAAAAAACCATGCTTAATCAATCCCTGCGCCAATAAATTTGAAGCAAATGAACGTGCATGTCTTCGATCTCGAAATCCTTGTACATTTGAAATAAGCCAATCAATCATTTCATCTCCTTTAAAATTTTAAATCGTGAAGTGCTAAAACACAGTCCAGAGAGAAAACACAGTCTTACCAAAATAGAGTCCAAAGAAACTTTAAGTTGATCTATTTGTTCAATTGATTTCGAGATCGAAGACAGTTGAACAATTATCACATATCAATCGAGTCTCTTTGGACGGTATTTTGTCGAACTGTTTTTTGTCTGGACAATATTTAGGGAGACTGATTTAGCCCCTCTCTCAAATTCATTTATAATTACAAATTAATTTTTGAATTTTTAACCTATAAAAGACATTGGAACAGGTATTTTTAGCCATTTTCTGTTTCGAATTTCCAATCCAGAATCAAATTCAACCATTCGAGACAAAATTATTTTTGGGTCCATAGCAGCGTGTAATGGGAGTTGAATAAGTGGGGGATGACAGTCGTTATGGGGAGAAGATTCTTCTACTGTTCCAAGCATAATTGGGCATGAAGAGGTTGCTAGAAACAAATAATTACTTAAAAACTAACTTAAAAAATCTCTTATTACTTGGATTATTCTCCAGGTTGATCATTTGCATTTTATTAATTTCTTCTGCTTTTTGCTGCTGTTGTTGTTGTTGATGAAAACGAACCTTAAAATAGAATAAAATTTCGGATCATATAAATAATAATTTCATATTAGAATCGACCTTCATTATGTATGAGATACCCCTTTACCCTTATTGTTAGAATGAAAAAAGCTTTACCCTGAACTGAAGATTTTCTCGCATTGGAGTTATGTTAAACTGATGGAATCAAATAGGGAGGATATCTCTTAGGTATTCCCCACTCACACAGTGGCAACCCAAATGTAAAAATATTAAATTATAATGCATCCCTAATTTTGAAGTATATTATAATGAAGTTGATTGTTATGTTTAAATTTTTTTAAAAACCTGATGTATAATAGGCACCAAACGCGCGCCTACGCCATTCCTTCTGTCCAAATAAGCTGCTTTTTCTTCATCACTCGTTTCCTAAAAAATTTTTTGAATTTAAAAATTAACCAAATATATACATCAACGGTTTGATTCTTCACTTTAGATCCGTCTATTGGTAAGGTTCCCCGTTCAACCCGAGAAACTGGCGGAATTTCTGCGAAAGGCCGGACTTGCTCGACACAATTTTTGCTAGAAAAAAATTTGAAGTTTTTTTGGGTTTCTCAAATTTACTTTGTAGTTGACTCAACCCATTGACTGATATCCAATTGTTGAGTTTCACAGAGTAAACTAAGAGGATCAGATTTGTGGTCTTCAGAACTTTCACCTCCATTTGTTCTTGCTCGTTTTGCGACGTACATTGTTATAGTCCTAACAAATTTAAAATAAATTAAACTCATTATAAAATAAATCTTTAAGTCTTGAATAAAGAGGTATCTTAAAAAGAGGGTATCGTTTAAGTAGCAGGGATCTTACGGGTTGAGAAAAAACTCGGCTCGTGTTTAAGGTAGAAAAAATACGGGTTTTGGGTCACGGACCCCCCCCCCCCTCAGTTCCTCTCAAATTAGGGAAGTAAGGGAGATAAAAGTCGAGTTTCAGTTCAGGGGTTTGAAAAGGTTTCGGATCGGAATGCATGTGAAGTCAGGGTTTCGGGTAACCCGTGACATCCGTGTTTAATGAAATATTTACATAAAAAATATTATGAAAAAATACTTTTTAACAGAATTCAGTTTCTTCAGAACCTCCAATGCTTGTTTCTCGTTAAGATCTTCAAAACGAGTTTCATCAATCTTAAAATTATTGTGAGAATATTATCAAAAAAACTTAAAGAAACCTGAACAATCTGATCCCCAACTTCAAGCCTACAACATCTTTCAGCAGCACTTCCTTAAACGGAAAAAATAAAAAAATAAATTAAAGATTCAAACCGTGTTGAATGTGATAAATAAAAATAGAGCCACATTGACTGGCAACAGAAATTCCTAATGGCGCATCCTGTAAACGTAGCTTGACTTCTTCGATTCGTGGCAAAGAATAACTGAAACAGATTTGCTAAATATTGTTATTTTAAAGTTTAGGCTGGGACTGATTTTCGTATCCACTGACCTAGGACGGGTTCAGGACCCGGAGTCTAGGAAAAGGAAAATACAAGGCCTTAGTGTTAGCTTAAACACAGCTAAATGCCTAGAAAAAGCAAATAAGATGAGGAAAGAGACAAGAGTTAATGTTTTTAAGAATCGTCTTAAAAATATCAAAACTTACGTGCTTTCGGATTCCGATGAAATTGTTGAAGGTACATATCGTTGCTTTCTTAGACGCTTTTGTCTTGCTGCAGAAGTATTGACCAGCAACGTTCTCTCAGCAGCACTTTCTTTAATTTTTAAATTAAAAAATAAATTAAAATTTTCAAACCCGCTGTGCTTTCAGCAGAAGGCATAGGAGCACCAGGAAGAGGCCTTCTTTGAAAAATGCTAGAAGAGGATCTAAAACGAAAAAACATTCATTTTGAATAAAAATTTTAAAACAAACACAGAAGTTCTGTTGTAAGGATCTTCCGATGTTGAATTGTACATTTCTGCTAAATTTTCTCCTGCTCTCTCTAAAAGAATGAAAATATTTTAAAAAAACTTAAGCATCACTTACTGCTTATTAAAGTTTGCAAATCACTCTCTTGATCTGCGCCCATATGTGTAGTCGTATTAGAAAAAGGTTGCGAAGAATTTTGTTGAGAGAGTAAAAATAACTCGAAGAGGCCATTTACCTTAAAATTAAAACAGTACTTGTGGATTATCCCTTACCAGCTTTTGATATTTATGCGGACTCATAATGGTCAGAGCAAGGACGTAGCGAGAGGGTGGAGGTTAACATTGGGAAAAATGAAAAAATAGGAAACACCCCCCCCCCCCCCGAAAAAAATCCTGGCAAATCTCTGACAAGTCTACATAAATAGTCCAAAAAATTGGTATAGGATAACCACCGAGTATATTAAACATTTCCCAAAATCGATATAAATTTAATTAGAAACAAGATTATTATAACATTAAAAATACCGATTTACGTAGAAGCTGGCGATCATTGACAATCTCCACTTTCACCTCTCTAAAATAAAATTTTTGGATACCTAATTTTAAAAATTGAAACCTCTTCAAATTTGGATCCCATTCCTTACAAAAATAACTGTAGCCTTTCCTGTTGAAAGCACGCTTAAAATCTCCCAGTGTCAATCGGTCTGGCGGGATTTGAAGTTCAGACATGTAGGGAGTAGAGTCGTCCAAATGGTAATAAACCTGAGAGATTAATTTAAAGAAAAACTTAATTAAACAAGAAAAATTTACTTTTGTTGATCCTTTTGGTTGTTCTGACATTTAAACCTTGATTTGTAGCTTCAGTATAAAATATAAAATTATCTAAATCCTGCAAAAATTTTTAAGGTGGCAAAATTTTCTAAAACTGAAGTGAAGGTTTTTAGACATGAAAAAGTTAATTTTTGAACAAAAATAATTCTTAAAATCAAAAATTTGCAACAAAAAAATAAATAATTTATTGTCTAAAAAAGCCAAGGGGTTGAAGCCACCCCGCCACCCCCCGAAAGTGGAAAACCTGGGAAATTTTAGGAAGGGTAACGGCGCGCTGAAAACAGAAGAAATTTGGATTCTTGGCTCTCTTTTCGAAAATTTCCTCAAACATAACGCCAAAATTTAATTAAATGTCTATCTTCTCTCTTTATTTTATTGCATCTCTCGTGCTTCTGACTTTTTTTGTAAACAAGAAAAATGGTCAGAATGGGGAAAATTAAAAAGGGTCAGTAGGCTAAAATGGGACGTTTCACTATCAGTATACTTATTGTTAATTTTTGGATTTTTAGCTCAATTTTAAGCAAAAATGTTTCTGTTTATTCGACCAACAAAACCAATTATCCTTCCAAACAACATTTTTGATTTAAATTTACAACGGATTCTTCAAAATAAAATTTATGGTATTCGACAATTTTCTAGCAAATCTGAAGGTTTTTTTAATTTAAAAATATTTTTAATTTTTTAATTCCAGTTGCGGAAGTGGACAACAAACAAATTTATTTAAATAAACCTATTAAAATTAATTTGTCTATTTTTCAATCGGAAACAGAAAAGGTTATTTTTTTAGTAATTTTATTTTTAAAAGGATTATTCCAAATGAACCTCGGGGTTTCATTAAAGTTAGAACTTTCCAAAGTGTCGGATTTTTCCCTGATCAGGGTTGGCCGGACTAAAATCGCGAAATCCAGAAACACCCGGGAAAACTTGGTCCCGACCGTGGTTTAAACTCTAGTTGTCATTTATTGAGAAGTAAGTTCCTTTTACGGTTAGCACCCTTTCCAGACTCCTCAATATTCAATTTCTTATGCCCACACTTCCCTGCGTCGAATAATTTAAAATGGCAGTTTTTTTCATCAACTTTGTTCTATTTCCTTATGGAGGTAATTAGAGATCGATCTGTGTCTGGACCAAGGCCTGGGTTTTTCCTGTACCCAGAGTACAGGCCTAGGCATTTTTTGACCTTCCTGGGTTTTTCCTGGGCCTGGATTTTTCCCAGACTACAGTCCCAGGATCTTCCTAGGTCAATAAATCAAACCCAGGAACAGGGTACTAGGCAGAGGGAAAGGGAGGGAAACCGATTTTTTTTTAATTTCACAAAAGATCTATTTTCAGGAGCAAAAAGAAAAATCAGAGGTTGGATATCCCTTATTGATTAACGAATGGGAATCTCTACAGAAGAAATGGGCTGATGAAAGAGATCAATTCCGTTTGTTTTTTAAATTTTTAATTTTATAAAATTAATTTTTTTAAAGGTGAACAACTTGAGCAAGAAAAACCGTTATTGATAGAGCCTACAGATTTGCAACGAAAGATGGTTGTTTGGACGGGAATGTACTCAAATTTGTCAGAGGTGCCTGCTAAATTAAAGTGAGGAATTAATTAGGTTTTTTCTTTATTTAGGTAGAAAATTAACCTTACGTAATGTAGTCAACCCTCAGTTTTAGATACCTCCCATAATTAGGACGTCTCACTTTAAGATTCGATTTGTAAGGTTTGGTTGGCCACGGGATTGTGGAGCTGCCTTCATTTATACGACAGCAACTCACTTATACCACACATAAACCACATACTTCATTCTAATAGTACGGCGAATTTTTTTAATTTTGCTAGGTCTGGATCCAGACCTTGATTTTTCTGGATTCATAGTCAAAATCAAAGCATTTTTCAGTGTTCCTTGATTTTTACCTAAGTGTAAGCATATGGCTAAGGTCCTTAGAAAAATAAATTAGGAATAATTGATTTTAAAATTTTCGGCCTCTATAGGATACGATTGTCCAAAGGGTGTTCTCGTAATCAAGTTATGGCAAAAACTGGACTCAAAATCAATCTCATATCATTAGAAATATTTTTTTAATAATTTATATTTTTCAGTTCCTTTCAAGTCAAGCGACATGGAAAAAGTCTCATTAGACGTATTTTGTGTATGGCTTTCATCTTTTATGCCTCACTGTTTTATATTTACCGTTGCGACGAAACTGAAAATAGATTTTGATTTATTCTAGTAGGTATTATTATTGTTTATTTTTAAAATTAATTTTTGTTTAGTAAATATTGTAAATTAACTAAATTTTACCTTAAACTTTTGGGGGTATTTTTATGTTTTTTTGTAGTCATAGTTGATTTCTAGGATACTTTAAGAAACGATTTTCTAACTTTTCCAGTTTAAAAGTATCCTCAAAAACTAGTCGGTGTCTCAAGAAACGAATTCCCTCAATTAGATTTTCAAGAGTCAGGTCCTCGATAGTGACGTCCTCATAAATCGGATTCCCTCAGAAATCACTAGAGTTGTTCCCCGTCCCCGAAAGTCTGGGGAATTTGAGAGGCGTGGAACAACCCAAGTCCTCGCATGTCAAATTGTCTCAGAAGTCGGTTCTTTAAAGATCGAGTCTCAAAAGTCGCTGTCTCTCTTAATAGTTGAATTCTCTCAATTAACAGTCGAATTCCTTTGGAAGTCGGTTTCTTTCATTCAGAAGTCGAATCTTCGAAAAATTGTTTCCTCAAATAGTCCCATTCCTCTAAAAGGCCACACCACTTGTTTTTCTTGTTAAAAACATTATCCTTTTCCTGTACTTTATTTTTATAAATCGCTTGGATGCACCACACAAAGTTTAAATGGAAGCTACAAATGCGTCAACTAATAAAAAAATATAATCGGCTTTAAGAAAATTGAATTTTTTTTTGTTCATCACTTTAGTTTTCATTTCGCGCTTTTCTTCTACTTCTACTATTTGTCCGGTCCCTCTATCCAACCACTTTTTACTACAAATTTTTTCCAAAAAAAATTTTTTTTCATTGAATTTTCCTCATTCTCTGCTGTTTCTATGTTTTCTTGTACATATTTTTATTTCCCTCCTTTCCACTCAAAGATTTTTGGGGAAAGGAGAGGAGCAGCGGGCATAAAAATGCGCGAAGATAAAAGAGGAAGAAGAAGAAAAATTAAAATAGAAGAGCGGGAAGGACACATGGCTGGCATCAACTGAAGGTGAAAAAAAATAAAGATGGACGAGGCAATTTATATATTTTAAAAGAAAAAAAATTCCAAAATTCACTTTAAGTGAAAATATACACTTAATTTACTTTTTTATGCTTCCCTTAATAATTCGGATATATCCGCTTTTCCTTAATTTACGCTTAATCAATCTTATCGTTATTAATCTCAAAATTACTGCTATTATTGTGAACTATAAATAATGCAGTCGTAACTCATTATAAGATTCCCTCTTGGGAAAATCATCTCTTATAATGAGGTGTACCTTAAATAGAGGGGTTCGCCTTGAATAGTGGGTATCGCTTAGATAGCTCCATGCCCTATGGCTGTAACCGAATTTAAGAGAGCGTCTCTTATAATGAGGTACTTTAAATAGAGAGGAAAAGCTTAGGCATCTTCATTTTCCAAACAAACTTCTCTCTCATTAATTCAAAGAAAGGTAAAAAATAATAAACAAAAAGTTATTTGAGCACCTTAAGAAGATGAGTCATGTGTAAGCAACTTTCTCAAAAAATAAATATAAGCAGGAGGATTAAAACAAAAAAGAACTGACAGATGAGCGGTCTGGAAGGGATTGTTGATCCATACATTTCCTTCACACCATTCATTTCCTTAAGCTTAACGTTACATCTTAAAATTAATTTTTTTACATATTTTTATGATTTTATCTTTTTCATTCTTTGAAATTTTACTAAATAGTCTCACGTCGGAAATTTCTTTCTAATTTTAATGTCAATGAAGCATTTTTTAAATTTTTACACGCAAACATCACTTACATACGAGGTTACTTCCCTAACTAATTCAAGGTCTAGTATTGGGTTTTTCTTATAATGAGTAGACCTTATAATGTGTGTACCTTTTATTTGTGGGTATTCCCTAAGCAGCTCATCCAGCAACCAATTTTAAAACGTATCTTAAATTGAGGAGTATCTTCTGGAAATTTCTAAATCTCAGGACCTACTTCCCTTTCTCTCTTTTATTCTTTCCTTTGCTTAACTAAAAACAAACAAAGCTGAAGCTAACAAAAAATCTTTCACTAAATCTCTCATCCCTTATTTTTCCATTGCCTGATCTTCGATTGCTCTTTTTATTTTATCATTTAACGACCAGTTTTTTTTTCTTTCCCATAACTGCCATTTATTGCCCTTTATACTATTTAAAAACACTTTATTTCATGTCCAATAACTCTCCTCAAAAAGCATATGGCAAATGACTGGTTTGTAGGAGAGGGGAAAAACACTCATCGCTTTTAAACTTTATTTTTCCATAGGGCTTTTAAACATGCTTATTTTAATGCTTAAATTGTTTAAAATTTTATCTATACAATCGGTATATAACCCTGGCCTTATAATGAGGGTACCTTAAATAGAAATTATAGCTTAAACAGATCCCAGCGTATCTTAAATTGAGATATGTTTAGGATGGGGGTTATTGTTTAATGATAGCCTCTTATAATGAGATGTATCTTAAAGTGAGGGTATCGCTTTGACAGCTCCCCTATCCAGTGGCTGGCCAACCAAAATTAAAAAAACGTATCCTAAAAATTCTTGTATTCCTAAAAATTTGTTCTCAAAATTAGAAACCTGTTGTATTTTTAATTAAAAATGACATGCAATTAATTAATTTTTTTCTTCCAATATTCCTTAATTCTCTCAAAAAAATATTTTTTCCAACATTAAATATTGCTATAATAAATTAAATAAATATTTTTGTGTTGTGATTCTGCCAGCTATTTTTTTATGTTAAAATATTGCAACTAAAAATTGCAAAAATAAACACCAACATAAAACACATTTTTGCCTTAAAATTAATTAGCGAGGATTTTTAAAGTGCCCAAAAATTTAAAAAATATTCTGTCAAGCCTTGTTTTGTTAATTATTATTCCTTATGAATTTTTAAATAATTTTTTAGATAATTTTTATTTCAATCAGAAATCTGTTTTAAATAGAGACCTGAGCAATCTCGATAATCTAAATTTTCCCCGAGATCTCGTCTTGGTCCGGATTTTAATAAATATTTTGTGTTAATATTTTTTTCCTTTTCTTTAAATATTTTCTTTAACATAAAATAGTTATTATTTACACCCCCCCCTTTTTTTTTTAATGACAAATATGATTTAACATAAACACCATTTTCACAAAAAATATTAAAAATACTGATTGTTCATAATAAAATGTTATTATTGCTATATTATACTAACAAAGCTGCTAATAAAACAAATATATGGTGGAAAATGTTTCCTTTTGACTAATTTTTTGAATTTATTTTTTATTTCCTACGAATTTTGTCATTTACAAAAGGTCGTCTTACAGCTTTCCTTGTAACAAATAAATTTTTTTTGACTTTTTTTTTGAAAATCAACTTGTTTTCTTCGTAAACCTAAGCTTAAATATATCCACTTTTTTATTTCTTAGTGTTTGTCTCAAGTTTTTAGCCTCAAACATTGTATTATTAATTGTATTATATACGTGTTCGTTATCAGTGGTTTTGCCCTTTCATTTTCGCCTTTTTTGACATTTCACCTTTCGTCTTTCGCTTTTTAAAATTGTTTAGTACACCCCTGTTCTGTACACCCTTCGAAAGCTTAATCTCTATCCATGTTTCAATGTTTCCGAAAAATCAAAATCAGTTGGATAAGCTTGGATAAAATGAGGGTTAAATTGGATATACCAGATCCGGCTAACTAAATAATTTTTAATAAAATCCGTTAGGCTATAAATTCAATTTTAAGATTTAGTTATTTAATAAAAAATAGGCATGACTTGCAATTTATTAAATAATGAATCTGAATTAACTTCTGCCTTCAATTCTGTCAGCAATTCCCAGTCTGGGGACGAATGGTTAATTAAATTCTAAAATAATTTTTCCAATTTTTTCCTTTTTAGGGCTATTTTTGGGTATGATGGGACATCAAGTATTGTAAAAGTTGAAGCAGCGGGAAGTAAATTTAATTTTACAAAATTAAATTTAAAATTTATATTCTTTAAAGATGGTGGCCTTGAACAATTATTAGCGAGTTTTAATAGTTCCAAAACGCAGTATGGGTTTGCAACGGTTGCTGCTGGGGCACAAAGAAAAGTTGTTCTATTCCATTGGGTAAATAAATAACTCCTTTTTATTGCTGGTTGGCCAAAGGGAACTGCCTATTTATTATACCTCCCATATTAAAGACAGACACTCATTATAAGATGCTCTCACTATAACATACCCCTATACTAAAGTACACTTTTATTCTAAATACGTTTTTTGAATTTATGCTGGCCTTTGGGTGGCTGGAGAGATTGCCCAATTGTTTTACCTCCCATTTAAGCTACATCCACAATAAGGAACAATTTATTGTGCCTAAGGGTGTGTTTAATACTTTGGTCTACCTATTATATTCGTTTTTTCTTCTTATTTTATTCCCCTTTTTTAGCAAGGTGAAGGAGTGCCAGCAGCATTGCTATCAACTACTGCTTCGCATGTTGAGGAAATTCGTAGATTTGTTAGTTCCCTTAATTAAATAAAAAAATATTCTAATTAAAGGTCCGACGAGTTAATTTAACAATATATGCTCGTAATGAGGAGGATTTGGAGAAACAAGTTTTGGAAAGGCATTTTGAAAAGTTACAAGACTTGGCACCTTCAATTACTCCTTCAGATGTTAAAACGCCTGAGGCAAAACTTGAAAAATTTTTTTGGGAATTTTTCCGAATTTTTAGAGCTCTGCTGGATCATCTGTTATACAACCAATAAATAATACTCCTTTTATTCCACCAACCCCAGCAAGTGTCACAAATCAGCGTTCTGGGTTAAATCAAGAAATTAATTTGAATGAAAGAGAAAAATTCTGGGAAGAGGTGAATTATAGTTATAGTTAGGTCTCCTTATAAGATACACTCAATACAAGTCCCACCTATTTAAGATATACCTCTATATAGGATACGCTTTTAAGTTTGGTTGGCCTTTGGATGGGGGGGGGGCTTCTATTAGATATCGGCGTCTATTAGAGAGTAGAGTTTCAATTGGTCTTCTCGTGTGGGCTTCTATTAGAGATGGGCTTCTAATAGAGCCGGCCAGACATTAAAATTTAAAAATTAAAAGATGAGAGACGAGGAAGAATTAAGAATGAAAGAGGAGGCAAATAAGAGACGACAACTCCAAGCACAATATGCCCACGAACAACAAGAAATGTCTGAAAAATTACACAAAATTCATTTGGAAAGAATGGAAGCACAAAAGCAACAAATTGGAAAATCAGCAAGTTTTGATTCGTCTTCAATTAATGCTGGAAAGATGGGAAAATTAATAAGTGGACGTACTAAAATGTTTGAACAAAAAGTGTCGGAATTGGCACAGTCTACAAAGCCTTTAAAAAAGCCAAAAAATTTTAAATGGCAGGTAAAATAAAAAATGAATAAAAAATATTTTTAAATTAAATAGGACCTCGATTTTGGATATCCCCTTGGAAAGCCCCCTTGGGACTGAAGAAATCGTATCTCATAATTAGGGCTAATTAGTAGTTAATAATTTATGATACACTTCTGTTTAAGTGACGTTTTTTAAACTTGGCTGGCGACTGTGTGGGGGAGTTGCTCAAGCAATACCTTCTATTTAACATACCCCTCATTATAAGATATCTTTTTTCTCAATCCTGAAGGTATCCAAGAGAAGTTTGGCTTTTAAAATTTTTTAAGGTCAACCTACAAAACCGTTTAAATACCCCTCCAGTTAACAAAGTCCCAGAGCCACCACCAAAACAATTTGAATGTGTACTAAAAAGAAAAGAAGAAAAACAAGTCGAACAGCCAAAATCTGTAGCAGAAATTAAAGGAGAACTAGAAAAAGTTGAAAAACAGCCAGAGGAACCTAGTAAATAAATTTGGAACTTGTCCAGATTATGCGTCCAATCTATAGCGAAGGTTCCGCGTATCTACTCAACCAGAGTTACGCGCAATACCGAACCATGGCAGTGGTGTTACGAAAGTGATTTTAGTCGATTTAAGAAGCGAACGGTGAAAGTCGGAAGGCAAAACTTGACCCCTGAACCATACATAGGTTCTAACATCAAAAGGGTATTTGTTGCCATAGAATGAGCTCATAAAAATGTGATTGGATGCATTCTGGACAAGAGCCATGATTCTTTAAATTAAAAAAAATTAATTTTTTCTCTCAGTTGTCAATAAAATTCCAATAGCACCAATCCCACCAGTTGCTCGAATTCCTTTAAATCAACAAAATGGTGACCAAACTCGAATTAATTTGGAGGAAAATGGGAAGAAAATTAATGAGGATTTGAATTTATTAAATTTATCTTCACAAAATGGAGATACTACAAATATTTCTCCTCCCCCAAGTGAACCAACAAATACGGAAAATTATCAACAAATAATTGAGGAACAAAATATTGAAGAAGAAAATGTTAAAAATGGGGAAAAAGAAGTAAATTTAAATGAACAACAAAAACAACAATTGAAAATTAAAGCTAAAGCTCTTTGGGATTATCAGGCGGAGGTGAATAAAAAAGCTTTATAAGAATGTTTACACTGTAATATTTCTATGAGAGGGAATCATCTTGATTATCCTTCATTACCCTCCGCAAAACAGCTTTGGCATATCCTGGGAAATCCACAGATACCCTGGGAAATCCAAGGATATCTGGATCCGATCTCGATCCAAAAATCCACAGATATTCGGATTAGATATACGAGCCGAATTTTCGGACATCCAGATTTTTTTTCAGATACGGATCCGCCAACCTTGGAGCCGCGCCATCATATAAAGATATCTAGAGACCGAAAAAATGCCAAAATCGAACTTTCGAAGACGAATATTTCGAATTCTAGGCTTTCAAAATTATTCGATCGAACATTCGATTCATCCAATCCCTAGTTATAATCCCTACACTTTAAAGGATAACACAGAGTTGACATTTAATCCTGATGACATCATTTCCGATATACAAATGGTGCACGATGGTTGGTGGTACGGCCGCTCGCCGAATGGCGCTTGTGGCCTTTTCCCTTCAAATTATGTGCAGCTGCTTCAATAAAACATTTTTTACAATTTTTGATTTTTGGAGATTTTTATGAGGAAAGAATTTAAAAAAGAAAAAAAGTCGCAAAATACAAACTCGATGATTGAAAAATTAAAAAAATATTTTTAAATATTCATTTATATTTTTATTTTTTGCCTTTATATTAAATTAATAAATATTTTCAGCTCTACTTTAGGGCATGCATTCCAGGAACTTTAATGCGTCCTATGAGAGTTTATGCGTCTATGCGTCCTATGAGCTATTTGCGTTCTATGAGTTTATTTGTCCTATGTTTATGCGTCGTCCCAAAAATAGGACGCTTATATAACGATAAGATGCTTATTTAACGATATGACGCATATAATACTTTTGGGACGCATGAACGCTCATGAGACGCATGCCCTAAAGTAGAGCCTTATTTAAATATTCTAAATTAAAAATATATTTCTTTACTAAATTTAATTTACTACTAATTATTATTTGACTAAAAATATAATTTAATGGCATTCTTCTGAATAAGTATTATCCACTCCTATTTGGAGGTATTTCTGATTTGTAGGAATTTGTAATTCCAGAATAGTTTGACCTTCTGTTTCAAGAAACATTGAGAAAGAAAATTCGCCCTTAAAAATATTATTTTTAAATAATTTACGGAAAAAATTGTTTTCCACCAAGAGGATTCGAACCTTCAACCCTTAGGTTAACGAACTAAAAATTTTCCCACTACACCAAGGACAGGACTTTTTCCCTGGAGGGAGGGGGTTATTGACTGGGGATATTAAATTACTGTTTTTAAATAAATTTACCGATAATATATCCAATAAAGTAATCCCAAAAATACCAGGCGGATCAGGAAGGAGTTGGGTTGAGTTAAAATTAAGTACTTTTTCTAATTCCCTAATTGTATGAATTCCGGGTGTTTGTAAAAGTTTGCACAAATCGTTTCCAATAAATTCACATAAATTAAATGAACTAAAAAATTATTTTTTTAAATCTGTAAATTAATCTAAAAAATTTTCTACACTAAATGTCCTCAGATGTCGCCCACAAGTCTCGGTTCACAAACATCCTCCTACAAGAATCTCTCAAAGGTCTATCGATAGTCCATAACTGCTGATGCCTCCAAATTGTGGACACCTCAGCTTAGTGTACGATTTTTCAACCCAAAGGGTAAGGGAGGTCAGAAAGTATTCAAATTTCAAAGCCATTTTATTCCAAATATTTTTAAATAAAATTTACAAACCACCAAGAATTAGGCATAGCTAAATATTGACTTGTCCCATTTAAACAAATAGGTTTATCAAAATTAGGCGAATTAACTGTCATTCTAACTGTGCCAGATTTAATTAAATCAAAATTATTTTTTGGAACAAGCATTTCACCTTAAACAGAACTTAACTCAAAAAATTTTCCTTTAAAAATTACCATCCAAAAGCTTAACAATTCCAGGCATTAAAACAGTTGCCCTATTTTCATTACAAGCAGGTTCTTTGTTCGGACGGCAAAGTGTTCCACGTAGACGTTTAATTTTAACAGGGTATTTTACTGTAAAAATTAGATTTTTTAAATTATTTACTAGGTTAATCCTCATTTTTAAGTCCTTCCTAAAGGCTGGTAACATAGTCGCTTATAATGAGGTGTATGGCATCTTCCCTCATATTTAGGTTCCAAAGTAGTATACTATAAGAATGAGGCTGGATCAGGGGCATGCCATTTCGACTATCACCGAATCACCTTTTTTGGTATATTGCCTCATGGTGAGTTGCCAAAGGGGTGTCTAAGAATGAGGCCTCAGGCTTATGCCGTTTCGTCTTTCACCGAATCGCCTTTCGTACTTTGGCTTTCGAATTTCTCTTGTTTTGGTGTTTCGTCTTTTGGCGAATTCCGGCCTTTTTGAATTTTTGACTTTTCTAGTATTTCGCCTCTGGGCTTTTATAATTAATTTCGTCAACCCCCTGTTCTGAATTTACCCCCAGTCTGAATCTGAATCTATTAAAATTTATTTATTCTCCACCTTTAAAATCCGAACGTCCATCAACTAAATTCTCTTTACCATCTCTACATTTATAAAGGCAATTATCGGCTCCAATGATAATAGGAATAAAAAATAAAATTAAAAGAAATATCAAAAATTTATAAAACATTAAATTAAATTATTAAAAATTAATTTTAAAAATTAAAAAATTTCTCTCCGTCTTTAAATGCAAAAATAAAATTTTTGTTATTTTTTACTCTCTAAAAATAAGTACCTAATAGACTATTTATTTATTTCAATCAATTATAAATGCGCAAAGTCGTTACAATTTTGTGACAAAATTTATTGAAGGCCAATAATGATGGGGGAAAATGACAATAATAAAAAAAGAATTTTCTTCAACTCTTAAAAATAATAAAAAAGGGGTATTTTTGAGAGGATTATTTTGAAATATTTTAAAAATATTTTAATAAAATAATGTTTTTGCTTTGCAAAATATCCCTCTTTAATCCCTTAGAAAATTAACAAAACATTAATCCCGTATGAAGAATTGCCATTCGGTGAATTGTATTTATGGTGGACTGTCTTAATACGATCTTTTAGATTACCATTACATTTACCCACGTATTAATTAAATTAATTATTTTTTAAACATTCATATTTACAAATTAATATTACAATTTGTGATTGAAATTGAGTACCATACCGTACTACGGTATGGGAATTTATTGAATATAAAGTCGACTGGGATATACATATTAGGTCTTTTTCCTATTTTCATCCCTGTAATGCCGGCCTTTGGGAAAAGTTTAAGCGTTCAAAAGCACGAACTTTTTTGCCCCACCGAATCGTTCTCGCCCTTTTATGGACACCCTAAGATACGATTTTTAGCCCAAAGCGGGGTAAGGAGGGCATTTTATAATGCGGTTCCGACTGTTTATTATATTTAAAACTACAAAAAAATTTAAAAATCATTTTTAAAATTCTCTTCAATTTTCTCCACATTTTTTCTTTAATCCATAAATTCGATAAAGAAACATTTCCATATTCAGAGGCATATTTTCATCATATTTTAAACTCTTTATATGAGTTAAATAGTTCTCAATTAAATCTTCATTTAATAAACGCACTGATTCATTTTCAATATTTGCTTCTATTTTACCCTTCCAATTATCAGCATAATTCTCAATTTTGAAAAAACGATTTAAACGTTCATAAGCAATCAGAACCTTGGCTACATCATGCTGAACATAGCCTAGCTTTCTTGCTTCACAAAGTGTCTGATCAGCAAAAGGATTTGTTGGTCGTTTAGTACTCTTTTTTGGCTTAAATTAAAATTTTGTAGTCAGTCGGAACTTTGCAATCCCTTGAATAGTTGATTGCCCTCCATTCGCTTAGTTGATTACCTCCCTTGAATAATCCCCCCCTCCCTCCCTTGACCTCCGATAATCACCCTTAGTTAAATACTTGCCCCTTCCTCTCGTCGAATTTGCCATCAATTAAATACTCCCTATGGCTAGAGGTTGAAACATGTCCAGGGAATGATAATAAAATATTGTAATGTAGATACAATATTTCCAGCGCTCAGGGGGAATAAATACCATCATCCCAGCATTGCCATGCATAATATTCAATTGGATCTCACAGGATTAGGGTTCAGTTAAATTGGTTGGTCGTTGACTGCTGAGCTGTCTAAATACAGCATTCCCAATCATTCACCCCTAAAGCATTCCCAATCATTCACCCCTAAAGCATTCCCAATCATTCATCCCTAAAGTGTATCTAATAGTGAAGTACCTTAGGTGATTTACTTGAACTTTTTGGACTTTCTCTATTAACTAATACACGTTCAGTCAAAGACTTTATCCATTTTCTCTCATCAACCATTTCTTCAGGCAATTCAACATTTGGATTTTGAATTGCTTCCTTCAAGTTTTCCAATTCTTCCCCGTTCCCAGACATTAAATCAAACATTTCTTCAACTATTGTTTTTGCATATAAAGAATTTTCGATTAACTCTATATCAAAAGGAGCCTCTAATTTTTCGAATAATTTAACCAAATCCTTCTCATTTCCCCCGATTATTTTGACTAGTTTAGAGTATAATTTAAGCCCCATTTTGTTCATTAGATAATGAGCACGAATTGATGCATATTCTTGCTACAAAAAATTATTTTAGAAAAGAAACAAAATTTACTTAAATTATATAGTAAATATTCTCTATAAGAACTCGTTGAATACTAGGCGGATCTGGATCCGAAAAAGACAGGATATCCGGAAATTTTCGGTTGAGATAGAGGATCTGTATCCAAGTATCTGAATCTTCCAGTTCGGATATCGCTACGGATATTCGAAAATTTCCCAGTATCCACCAACCTTATTAGATACGCTCAATTTACTATACGTTTTCTTAAAATCTGTTTGTCTATTGGGTTTGGATGACACAGCTTCTCAATTAATAAATACCTTCTATTTAAGGTACCCCTCACAAGATAGAATTTTTTCGACCCTAAGTTTGCATCTTATACTGAGTTTTTTTATTTAAAAAAATCCTTCATACCCTAAGTTGGCCATCTTCAGGTATTTTCTTCACAAGACGTTCAATCGCTTCTTCAATCTTCAAATTCAATTCATTAACAATACCCCCTCGACAATTAACCGTAGATTCATTTTTACCCGTTCCCCCCAAAAATAACCAATTTTCGGCATTAATTTTTAAAATATTTTCTCCACAACTTCCCTCCAATTCATTAATCATCCTTTCTCTATTTTTAATTAAAAAATCGTTTAAATTAGTCTTTTCTGTATTAAAATATTTTTTCAATTTTTCTTTCAAATTAATTTTTATTAAATTAGGAGAGCATCCTTTTTTATTTTTTCCTTTTTCTATTTCAATTTTTTCCAAAATATTTTCCCCAAATTCGTCGGCAACATCACAAATATTTTTATTGTTTAATTTAAATTTTACTTCAAGTCCTTTAAACTGCTCCAAAGGCTGGCAAATTAAAATTCCATATTTTGTTTTTATTGGGATTTGTGCCAAATCATTATCCATTTCACGAAGTTTATCAAACCATTTGTACACATTCTCGCTTTAAGTTAAAATTACTTATGCTGATTTGCAAATGTCTGTTTGCAAATTTCGAGACTCAAATTCGAAATGTCGGTTCGTACTTGTATGTTTGCAAGTTGTTCATACTAGAGATCGAGCTGGATCTCTAACAAGGCCTGGGTTTTTCCTGTACCCAGAGTCCAGGCCCAGACATTTTTTTGACCTTCCTTGGCTTTCCTGGGCCTGGGTTTTTCCTGGACTACAGGCCCAGAATCCGGCCCAGGTCAATGAATTAACCCCAGGAACAGACCCAGGCTTAACTCAATGTCTAAAGGCCTGCATGTTTACTTCCAAATCCATTCCTATTAAAATACCAAATCTACACACTAACCTTTTATTTCTGGAACTATATCTAGTTATATTTTCCATTTGTTGCCCAAAATAGTCAATAATTTTATCAATCTCTTTAAAAATTATTTTTAACCCTTCACTTCCTTCACTAAATCCTCTAGTCAAAAGTTCTCTCAAAATTTTATCCAAAAAATAAGCCCTTTCAACTTCAACTAAAATAGGCATTTTATTGGGAATTGCATCTTTTAAATAAACATAAAATTCATTTTTAAATTTTCGAAAGGGTTCCAGAACATTTTTACAAGGAAAATTAATTTCATCTTCAGAATTTTTTAATATTTCAAGGCTTTTAATTTTTTCTTCTTCTTCTTGATTTATTAAACTTGAAGAGGAAGAAGCCTCAAAATTGCCGTATTTTCTCTAAAATAGTCCCTTTCTAAAATAGCCTCCCCCTCTGAAATAGCCCCCTCTAAACACTCCCCCCCCCTCTCTAGTCCTCTAGAGGTATCAAAAATATCCCCCGGAGCTATTTTTAGAGAGAATACGTTATTTTTAATTTCAACATTTTCCTCCTCTTTCACTTCAAAATCCTCATCCTCTTTTATCTCTTCAATTTCACTCTTTCCTGGTTTATTTTTTAAAGGGTCCTTTAAATTCTCCTTAGCTTCTTCCATTATTTTTGCAATTTCTTCATCAAGAATATTTAAAGTTATTTTTTCTTGATCATTATTTAAGAGGTGAGCTAATTTTGTTCCAAATGAGGACGGAATTAATAAATACAGGAATAAAGAAAAAATAAAATATTTTTTCATACCTAAAAAATTTAATAAGAATCTGCCCTCTTTCTGGATACCTCCGCTACTAGGTACCTCGGTTTAAGATTTTATTATGGTAACTGGCAACGAGGATATGCCAAAGCGACATTCTCTATTTTAAGATACCCAGTTAACCCCATGTTTAAGATCCCCTTTTTAATTTGGTTGATCATTGGGCTGGGGGTTAAGAGATATTATAAGATACCCATTATAAGATACCACCTATATGTCTTTCAGGCTCAGGGGAGGTTAATTTTCTCCATCTCTCAAGGGTTGACTGTATTTAATTTAAATATAAATATTTTTTATTTTGTATTAATAAACAAAAGTGTCGGCATTTATAAACTGTCAAAGGAATAAATTTTCCATGTGAATGCACTTTGGCGAAATCATTTGATTGCACTTTTATTTGATTGCACTTTTATTTTAAAAAAATTGATTGAAAATTTCTTAAATTTATTTTAAATATTAAGATTGTAAAAAATTTCTTTTTAAATTGAAATTCTATAAAATTAAACATAATAAAAAAAGGTAATTGTACATATATTGCTTGATACAAAAAGTAATATAAGAGAAATTCGAAAAATTTTCGAAAAGGTCACAAAAATTTTTGGTAGAAAAAAAATAAAAAAAAATTGTGCATTGGAAAGTATTTAAATTACAATCTAAACCTCACTAGAAAATCAGGAAAGTATATCCTACAATGAGGATTATCTAAAAAAAGGTGGAGGGGGGAGGGGGTTTCGTTTCAGCTCCCACTCCACCCATTGACCAACTAAAATTAAAAAAAATGAATCTTAATCAAATTGGAGTAGTATAAAGGGGTTGTTGATGGCCGGTTAATTCTTGCCTCTGGTGTTTCTAATAGAGAAGAATAATAAGTGTATTTAAGCCACTATAGGGAAAATGTAACCGGTCACCAGCAATTGTAGTAGTCTATCAGGGGTGTGCCGAAACATATTTTAAAAACCGAAACGCGAAAGAAAAATCCGCGAAAGGCGAAAACGGCACACCCCTGTTGTCTATTTAATATAAGGGGATATCCAATAGTGAGGTTCGATTGTAGTAAATAAAAGATTCATATAAAAATTATTTAAAATCTTAAGAATCAGCAGTAATAACTTCTTTACCAGAACCTCCAATTAACATTATTCTTGGAAGACCCTCAGTTAAAGCTTCAACCTTAAAAATTCCAAAAAGATTTTTAAAGATCAATATTTTAAATTTACATAGGCTAAATAATTTTCTACTAGAGATTGAATTGATTTTGGTGGTTTCGGTAATGAAAGCAAAACTAATTGACTTTCTGTTGAATATTCCAAAATAACCTTTAAAAATTAAGTTTTATAATTTTCAAAATAATTGTTTTTTTTACTTGATTTAAACGAACAGCTGCATTCATCTTTTGTACCTAAATTTAGAAATTATAGTAGTCAGATCCCACTACAATTATAATTACAATTGAATATCCCTTTTACAATCGGATATCTCCCCTTGAAAAATTCTCCCAGGGAACTGAGAAATCGTTAAATAGTAGAGGTTAATCTCAGTCGTTATCCACTGGGGTAGGTACATCCCCCCTCCATTACGCCGGCCAAAGGACTTGCCTCATCGAACATATCCCCCCCCCCTGCTTTTTATGGGGTATATAAAAATACATCCATAAAGAACTTATCTTCAATTTATAAAGAAATCTTTTACCTTCACATCATCAATATCTTTTAAACTAATTTGATCAGAACTATTTAAAGTATCTTGGTTATCCATTCCTTCAAATGTTTTTCTATAAAATTAAAATTGAATCGAAACTTTTGAAAAAATTTTTTTTACTGAATAAAACTCGTTTCAATAATTGATTGTCTTATTTGTTGCTGTCCTGGAACTGTTAAAGTATTATTTGCACTATTTCTAGTTTGTGGGGTTACACGACCACTATCATCTGGCAAAAATCCTCCATTTAGCATTCCTCCATTTGAAAGATTTGATAAATTTTTCTTAAATAGAAAAATTAATTTTTAAAGAGGAGGGCAAGTGATTTTCTTTGTCATGTGCTTCAAAAGGCATGAGGAATATAGAAAATTAATTTCAGGACCTAACCATTCTCTCACAGCAATCCCGATATGTCCGTACTCCCTCCAATAAGTCAAAAAAATTTTTCTGACTTAAAAAGTGAATGAATTTCCCCAAAATTATACCTTCAAAAGTGTTCTTGTCCTTTGCTCCATATTTAAAGTTTTTTGAACTGCGTCATCGTCTACGCTATCTGGATCAATCATATTTACTATGAATACCTTTAAAAAAATAATTTTAATTTTTTTTATAAATAAAAATAATTTTTACATTAGCATCAATTCGCAACATATAAATATGTCTTTGTAATGCATGCTTAATTTCTTCATTCTGTTCTTCAGTTTGAGAAATCACGTAAACACTTAAAAAAATCTTTTGTTTATATACAAAATTAAATTTTAATTTGAAAGTAATAGGCAAAAGAATAATGGGTCCACCCCAGGAGCCCACCCATGAGCACCAGTCATAATAAGCTAAAAGATCAGGCTGATGTGTTGTTGATCTTGAGTCCCCTTTATCCACACGAATATTTGGAGTTGGTCTCGATTGTAAGTAGACATCTAGGGAGCTGACCACTATAGGGTGTTAATCTCCTGGATTGATCCAGAAGAACCACCGGGCAGGAATCTTGACACCCATATTTTCTCCTCTATTAAACATCCCACCATAAAACAAGAAAATCATATAAAATTATTTTTTCTCACCGCATTTTACATCCTTTCCATACTTTATGTTGTTGCAATAAATACGCAATAAGCATTAAAATACCCCCATCTTGTACAATCCACCAAATATCAAGATAACCTCTAAGTCTATCATTAGGACGAGGAAAGTCTGTTATTCCTTTAACAACAACCATACAATTATCATTTTGAGCACCACAACATAATTGTTCTTAAATTTAAAAAATTCTGAAAAATTCAAAATTATTCCTTTACCTGCAAAAATCATTTGTTCAGTATGTTGATCCTGATTTTCTCCCATTCTTGGAAAATTGAGGAATACAGTGTTTGGCCTAAGTCCACCAATTCCTATACTTTGATAGAGAGCAGAAACAGCACCCTCAATCTAGAAGAAAAATTCAGAAAAATTTTCTTTAAAAATGAAATACCTGTGTTTCTGTGTAGAGAAGTGCTTTACCAAACCCTCTAAGCCTTGCTTGTGTCATATCCTGTTGAACTCTCTCTTTAATTTCTTCTGCTTTTTTACGATTTTCTGCATGCATCCCACGTGTTGCTGGACAACGAACAAAGGCAACTGAACAAAATTTTTTTAAAAGAATATTTTAAAAATTAATAAACCAGTAATTGCAAGTCCTTTCCCAGCCTTTAATTGTCCAGCCAAATTTAATAAATTTAAAGAACGCAAATCAATCATTTCTTTTGAATATTTTCCATCAACAAGAATAAGTAATTGAGGTCTCCAATTTTTTGGATGAGGATCTTTATCTTCAACTTTCATTAGACTATATTGTGCTGTTGTTAATGCTAATCCTCTAAGGCCATCACCCCATTCTTGTTTGGCACTTAAATATTTTATTTTATAAATAATTTAATTTTTTAATAAAAATTAAAAAATTTTGGTTCATATCCACAAAATTTATCAGAGTATATATTTTTCAAATTTTTTAGATTATTTTGCATAACCGTCAGTATGTGCCAGGTATGGGCCCCCATGAATTTTAAAAAGCGTAGGTCGGCGAATCCCTGGCATGTGCCCCTCATTTGCAGTATGTTACTTCCCCCCAAATTTTGTGAACTAAAAAATATTCCTAGAGGAAAACCGCTCTGGACTTTTGGAAGTATCATCGAAAATTCTCAGAATTTAGCGAACTGAGGCTCAAATTAAAAAATAAAAATTATATACCCCTTCCACTCAACATATTTATATATCGTTCCAGTTAAGGCACAAGCAATTAATGCATAATACCAACACGAGGCAAACATTATAAAGAAACAAAGAAAAGCACCAGCAAGTGAAAGTGACCTAATTTAAAAGTAAAATTAATTTTAAAAAAATTTTATATTAAAATAAACCAATGATAATATTTAAATCTTGGCCTCCAATTTGGAGCACCCATTAAAGAGTGTAAAGCACAAATTAAATTAACAAAGGCATAACACATCAAAAAGAAAAAGTCCAACACTTCAGCGATTGCGTCTACCGCTCCTTTAAATTAAAAAAATTTTTGAGTCCAGCCTTGAAGACCTACAACCTTTGAAAGTAAATATCGAGGGATTTAGAGGTGGTAAGAGAGATACATAAGTACACCGTTCTGTATTTTAGAACTAATGGTGCGGTATTGTGAGAGACTTTGGATGAGCACTATGCACTTCAGTCATACCAAAATCTTCTCTATCGCCTTGATCCATCGATATTCCCTTTCAAAAGTTAAAGGTCTTCAGAGTTGACCCCATTTTTGAAAATTAAAAAATAAAACTTTTATACCTAATAAAATAGCCAATTCAGCAATAAATGTAGTTATTAAAAGACCAAGAAAAGGTTCATTATTTTTTGTAACTCTAGCAAAAGGAGAAAGCATTGGAATTACATTATCCTTAGCAATTGATTGTAAAAGGCGAGGGGCACCTTTAAAAAAATTTTTTTTAATAAATCAAGACTATTTTAACCCTTAAACGACGGATGGGGTCAAAATGACCCCAACGCGATTTCAAAGACAAATATCTCCTTTTACGTTTTTATTGTATTTATCCTTTTTCGTGACTTTGTTTATATCTATCCCTAGTATTAAAAAACGAATAGAATATATTTCTATGTATTTATTAAAAATTTTTATACCGCCTACCCACGTTCTGGACGGTTGGGGTCATTTTGACCCCAGTTGTATTAATGCATTAAGACCAGAGACCTAGATACAAAATATATACCAATCGATTCCTCTCTCCGAGCGGAGTCGAACGATATCATTCACTGGGTGCGGAAATGCCTGTGAATCGAAATACAGATCGAGATATAGATTGAG